TGCAATACAGGGGTATCTCAGTAAAAACGCCAGTAGTATTAGCGGTAATTTACTCAGTTAACGATAGAGTATAACATGGCGCCCAACGTGGGGCGCGAACGTCCGAAACTCCAAGGGAATTTGGTATATTTTACAACTTTTTTCACTACTTTTACTAGAGTTTTTTCGGACATAATATTTTGCAAAGTTAATCGCTATAGACATGGCATCATGCAGCGATAGACTTGGAGTATGTGCAAGTGATTCACACAGCCCTTTCTTAAATTTGCTCTGTTTTGCGGCACCTTTGCGGCTGCTTTACGGTACTAGTCTCAAAAAAGATAACAATACCAGCCGGAACGCGAGGAACAAAGCATACTTTTCCTATATTTATTGTATAATAGTTGGAGATGTTTCGTTGGTAAGGCATAATATTTAGAAAAATAAGTAAGTACTAAAAATTATGTAGTAAATATTTTATATAGCAATAAAGTTGCACAAAATATTTTTATATTTTGCGTCTATAATAAATTACGTGCCCAATAAATTGAAAGATATTTGTAATTTTTATTTTAATTATACATCGATTTCTTTTCTATTTGTTACTTAAATAATTGAGATCGAAACGGATCTTCAAATGTTTTCTGCATATTTATAAGTTAATAATTAATAAATAAATACAAATTCATATTTAGGAGAGGACAGAGGTAATAACGTGGGTGAGTGGTGGGTGGGTGCGTGTGTGTGTCTATGCATGCGTACGTGTGCGTTGCGATATAATATACAGTATGAGTACCTATACGTAAAAATGAGGGTGTTACAATACGTCACCTTCTGAGGGAGTCGACAGAGGAGTGAGAAAGAATAGGGATGGATTTCTGGCTATGAGGAAATTTATAATAAAGTTACTGTTTTGAAAACGTGTAACTTTCTTATTTTTTATACTTTAGTTCAGTTTCAGCTTCAATATATTTACAAGGAAATGGGAACAATACAACCGATTCTAATTTATTGGCCAATTTTGGGAACTTTTAATGGCTCTTATTAATTTTTGTTCAATAGAAACAATAATTACATTTATAAATTTTACCTTCTACACAATTCTTTATGTTATATTAGGTTAAAGAAAATTGTGCAAATTGGATCCTTATTGCCCTCAGCCTGTGGCTAATATCGATTTAAATTATGACTTTTAGTTACTAAGGAATGGATGGAAGGAAATATTAAAAGACACATCCTGTATACAATCTTAGCACTGCTGACTGTGGATTATGTAAAAAATACTAGTAGTCGCAATTTGTGTGATTTGAAAAGTTATATGTATTTAAATTTAATACAAATATGTGAAAGACATAAATTCTACTTTCTATTTTAGTAAAAGATACACATAATTATGTCAAATAAATATTACTAAAACCTTAAAATGTCATAGATTTTGTATGACAATTTCTACATACATATTCTAGATTTTACTATCACATTGGTATAGAAATTTTTATTTCTGTAAGTGTTTAAAAACTGAAAAGAGGTAGTTTCGGGATATTGACACACCATTGTTGCACGTATCAAATATAATTTAAAAAAATGTAGTCGCAAACGGTACAAATAGTACGCACTAAATAAAGTTAGATTAAGACATACCTTATGGGTTATATAAATAAGTAACAAAAATACTCTTAATTTTAAAATCAAATCTACTCCGTCCTACCGCTTCCGCTTTAATCGGAAGTGGTCACAATTCTTGAAATATAAATGGAAGGTAGATTCTACATTTTTCTACATATCTCGGTTAAAAATTGTATTTAAAATACATATATGTTGTTTTAGTTAAAAAGATATCAAGGTTAAAACTTTTGAATATGGATATTGGGCATAAATCGATTTGGAAAAACTAATTTAGTTAACTTATTGGTCATAAACCATCCGTTTGTTAGGGAAAACGTCATCTGCTTAGATTTCATTTTTCTGACAAGTAACTGATAAAAAAACAGTTTCAAATATTAAATTTCTTTTGCCTTATTATTTTTTAAAATGTCATATCTAATTGTAAGGTTAGTATTAATAATAAATTATTTGGTATTCATATAAATAAAATACCTATGCAACTGTTATAACTTTGCGATTTATATTCATTATAAAAATTAAAATTCAAGCAATACTTTTATGCAAGCGACAAACGTTCGAATCTTAGATAATGATGAGTCAATCCCGTGCATAGAAAGGATGCAACATGAATAGACCGGAAGTTAGCTATCCAGACATCGCCCCCCAACGGAAGTCGGTATTACCAGATAAAATTATAAATAAGATCTCATTTATTCATGGAACAAGTCGTAAGCATTTTTTATTAGAAAACCGTCTTGCCTAAATTAGAATTTAACACCTAAACTACCTCTGGATTCGATTTCATATCTAGTCCATGCTTATTCATATTTTACAAATTTTAATAGAACTAATATTTAAGAAAAACGTAATATAAACATTCTAAAAATTGGTGTCGCAATAAAATGTTATTTAATATTTAAAAATGATGATGTCAAATGTTTTAACGAAAAAATACAAAAACGTACAGGGAAGCAAAAAAAGATATACAAACTCTGCTCCGTGTATGCTCAATTTTTGTGATATGGCATCTATTTTTTTTTTTTGAAAAAAATAAATCAAATTATTTAAATATGAAAGGTATCGAGTCCATTAACAAAGAGAGAATAAAAAATACACCGGTTTTATTTAAACAAACTTGATGCTGTGACATTGTATGATACATGAATACATGATGTATGAAAACTATAATGCTGAGTAAGATTATAGTACGACTAATGTTTAAGCTGTAACCTGTAACAACAATATTTTATTCCTTTCAATCCTTCTAAGTGTATCGAACTGTGAAAACGTGAAATAAATTCAATGACTACAGAGTGTTTCCTTTTTGTATCCAATGCTTAATAGGTTATGGGCGCAGGGAAATGCGAACTGATATTAAACAACGCGTGTGGTATGGTGATTGTTTCAAGTGAACTAATTTACTTATGTTAAAGAAAATAGACATATTTGTAGAAGCATAATCTTATACATAACAGCGACATGTAGGTAAAGAATATGATTATTTTTTATCGATAATTAAAAAATCAGGTGTTCCTTGAAATCCCTGATGCTTTATTCAAATAAATTAAAAATGTTGCTTAGAGTTTCTTTGCTACAGCGCAAAGGCACAGTTTATATATTGGCCGTGGCAAAGGTGTATCAATGATATCTTTAATGATTTAAAATATACCTACTTTATGGTTTTATTTGTAGTGTAGGAACATCAATTTTGTTTATTTAAAATTAATTTTTCGTGATTTTTCGTGAATGAAAATTTAACCCTTGAACTCTTAATTTTCTTTAACTCTGCAAGTAATAAGTAAATATTACTGTCTAGTAATGTAATAGTATTTATTTGACACATTTCTATTTTTTCATTTTTTTATTTACGATGCGATAAAATAGAAAACAGAAAAAATATTCATATTCATATTCTATATTACAAATCGCCAATTATAATATTTGATTTCTTATTTCCTTATACACTGAAACAAATCTTATTACTAAAATTGAACTATGTTGCTAAAAATGAATTACCTACCATAAATGTTTTTTTTTACTGTAAAGCGTTTTATTGAATTTTCAAATTCACTTCCAGGAAGTCATTAGATTACTTTTTACTATTTACTTTGTGGTTTTCAATAAGATTATTAAAACTTATTGTCACAACATGCAATAGTATTGACGGCTAGCACAAGTAAACATGTTACTGTATTAATGGCCAATTCCACCAACTTTCGATTAGACAAAGAAAAGGTAAGATTTGTTTAACTAGGGAATGAATAAACATTAGAATCTTTCGCATTTACTGTACAAATGTAGCCCTTGTTGAACCTAATAAATACATACATATAAGACTAATGGGAAATTTAAGGTCATCAAAATCATCTTTAGGCAACCAGTTAAACATGTCAGAGAAGTTTAATATAGGTAAAAGCAGTGACTATATTTATAGTCACTGGTAATAGAGTAATTTTTTCTTAAGTCTGTATTAGTAAATAAATCCGAAAGAAAATTAAACTATTTTTGTGAGCTAAACATATTTGTCTTTAATTATGTTTTATAGTTTTTAGTTTAAATTATAGCGACAAAATATAAGTATAATAGGTACTGTTGTTGCTGCAGTTACACGTACATGATATTTCAAAAAATATATATACTTACCACCAGTCGTGAGGATATTCCTCTATCAAGAATATTTATTATTGGTAGAAGATATGAATGACAGAATTTAATGAAATTTATTGAGCTTGTATCTATTTTAACTTTTCCAAATGTTTTTGTCATTATACTCAGCTGAAACAACTTCGGTCTTGGTAGGTACTGTCTATGATTACTAATACTCCTAAAAAAGAGCCCCCATTTACGCAGTAGGTAGAAAAACATTTCCCAATATTTTCTTTTGTAAACTAGAAATTACAAGTTTTAGAGGCAGAAGAAGAAAAAGAAGAAAAACGAGTTCAGAAAAACGTCTGGACACATTCAAAGGGAAAGTTCAAACAGTTAAGCCTTTAAACTCTTTCGACATCTATATTGTCCTTAAATAATATCCACACGTTGTACCTTGAAGGAAACTGCGAATACAATTTTTGCCAGCTGCTGTTGGAGCTCGGTAAGTTGCTCGGGTAGGACATGGTCATATGTAGGCAAAACTTACTATAGTTTCATTGTGCAAATCATTCTCCCATTAACTGTTGGTTTAAGGTTCACTGTGGTGAAATAAAAAGTAGACGAAACACTGTGTGGCGAGCAACACAACTATTTGAGCTAGCGATGGTGCCAATTGTTGTATCATGTAGGTCTCAAAAAATTAATTTTGCTAGAAAGTGTTAAAATTGCAATGAGTTTCCGATGAATTAATACAGAAATGCCATTTTTCGATGAAGGTTTTATATAAATAATGATCAACACAGTTTCAACGCTAAAATGGTTTATATTACTGCAACGTTTTGTTATTTGTAAACAATATAAAATATATATAAACAAATAATCGGTTAGACTACATTATCACATCTAAGGCAGTACTGTTGATTTTGTTAAAACTAGAACAAAATGAAACCAACTAATCCGATATGCATTTAAAGAGTCAGTCTTTCCGAGTAAACTGCTTAGCATTACTAATAACTTTTGCTTTTTTAACGAACTTCCCACGTTTTTTCTTTTTCTTTTTGTCTTGCTTTTCTTCGTCACCACTAACTGCAGTTTTGCTTTTACATTGCACCAATTCGTCGCTTGGAGTTTCAGGAAGGCTTTTAGATTTTCTTATTGATAATTTTTTACCTTGAGTTGGATAATCGACAGCAATCTGTCGTCTTAATCTGGAAAGGAAGATTTTAGAGTTACGGTTTTTTAAATAAAGTTTTTATTTTTGCGTAAAATTTCAGATTATCTAAAGATCCAATTGCATTATTTTTAAACTAACTTGAGCAACAGAAGCGAATGTTATAGTGATAATGTTATACCCATTTTGGTTTTTCGTAGATTTTTCAGTTTGATCTATTTTTGATTTTGTTTCCTTGTTATTGACCTTTTCTACTTTTTCTTGTCTCTTCTTCTTCTTCACAATGCACTTTTTCCTAAATGAAATTGTATTATGCCTTTTGTTAAATTTGAAATATTACTAGTTACATACTTTTTAGGTGATGTTGAACAATTACCCCACGATATAGGCGAGTCTCCATTTCCAGTGCCAAACCACAGCTTATTTTTCAAAGTAAACAATTTTGCTTGTACTTCGGTGAGTTGTCTGGTGGTCTGACATTTTTTGTCAGTAATAATCCTGTAACGTTTTTATAGATTAATAATATGGTTTGAGATAGCAAAAACCATTTGTAATAAATAATAAAATAATGGACTACTTACTTTGGTTGAGCTTTAGGTCTTCCTGCGCATAGATCGGATCGTAAATTGTCTCCTGGTATTAAATCGAAAACAGTAATCACCCTTCTTGATTCATGAGTTTGAATTTCACTATCGGAATAATCTTGAAGAGGCTGGAAAAAAGAATCTTATTAATTCTCCAAATACTAGTAAAACTCCGTGTTTGTTACTATCTCCAACATATAGTTTTACCACTTTTCAAAAAAAAATTAAGAAGAATAAACGAACTGCAGCCAAGAAGATATAATATGATTTATTTATTTACTTTTAACTCATTATTAAATAAAAACCGACGCTGTGCAAATTCATGACACATAAATCTAGAAACAATTCGTATCGGCACACTAAGTAAGGAGCATCGGCTTCTTGCACCTGCAAATGTTTATAAAAACAAGTAGAAAACATTATTTTGCTGTTTCCTGGACTTAGGTATTATTGATGATTTTTATTCTAAAGCTTAAAAAATTGTTGTAACATTTTTCAATTCACATGTCAATAAATTATTCTCTAAAATCAGATTCTACTCATTTGTTGAGCCAAAATAACATTCTTTTCTAAGAGTAACACATATTTCTCTAGAATCAGCTAATGGGGAAGCCTTTATTTTACTTACTTTTCAGCTTGTCTTTATGTTTAAATAAAAATTTGAAAATCTCGCTACAGGGGGTGATTCACAACTTATCCAAAAAAATTTGGGAATAAAATGCGTCATGACAAATGGAGTCAACATAGGAAAAAAAATTGTAAAATCTTTATAGTGTCTGAAAAAAAAATATTGAAATTGTACCTAGTATTTGCAACCCTTACAACGGTGAGCTACTGTAGTCTATAGCACTAGAGATAAAAGACAGCAGACTCATCCGTCATTTTGGAGCCCACTTCGTCATGTCATCATAATCATAGATCTATTGTAAACTCGCTAGTGAACGGTTTTCAGCGGTTGTTTCCTATGGTTTCAATTAGAATATTGTATTAAAAATGAATGGGTATTCGGCTGTATCATTAATTTATTCCTGATGTCGAATATGCGTAGTCAAATATACAATCTCTCCTTGAACATTTCCATGAGTTGTATTTTTGATGATTTAAAAAATGTCAAAAAAATGGCAAAACGATACACTTATATAGGTAACACCATCGTAACCCTCACGTTCACATATTTTTTATAACTAAATAATAATTAGGTACATTTTGTTTTGTAATTCATAAAATGTGTACACAATGTACCTACACTTAATTAAGATGTAGTAATATTCTGGTGTCTATTTTATTTGAATATTCAGAAAAATTTAACGTGAAGCTTTAATAAACAAACGGTGTAAAATCGGCGGTTATTTTCAAGGGGGCTCCAAAATGGCGGACGAGTCGGCTGCCTTTTATATATAGTGCTTCGTGCTGTATTGTAGTCTCTAGCGTCATTCGCATTGTACGCTGTACGCAGTGCGCTCTCTCTCTCTCTCCACGTGACCCGGCAATTTCGAATACTGAAATTCGATTTAGTATCAACGTTTTTGCGATAGTGTTTACATTAGTTTTAGTTCATTAGTTCTACATCATTCATCATCAACATCTACACTACATCATCAAGTCATTAGTTTTACATTAGTTTTTCAATGGCAAATATTGAGAAAGAACTTTCAATTTTTTGTCCGTTCATTTTTTATTAGAGTAGTTTCAAAATCTCATGAGCCGCGAAATGCGCGAAAGGCGTGGCGTATCCACACAATTCTTCTAATAAGCATGTTGTGAAAACATTGACTCAGAATTAGACCACGTGGCTCATTACAACCAGAAATGAACTAAGGAGCTCGGGCATCAATAAAGTCAACTGGCGAACGTTCGTTATATATATTTTTATTGCTTAAATTAAAATAATAATAATAATAATAATAATAATAATAATAATAATAATAATAATAATAATAATAATAATTTTATTGTCCATAAGATAAATGCAATGACGTGGGACACGTCAAAAATGGCAAATTACAAATATAAATGTACCTAAAGACTTATAAAAATATAACATGCATACAGAAGAAAATGACAATAAAATACAAATAAGATGTAGATAAAGAATAGGGCATTTTATTATGATATTTGTAATCGGACCTTAGGCTTGTTTACGCTACGAGAGCTCGAGATAGACTGAATAATGGATGTAATGTTTTTAGGACGTAGAATAATTTAGCCGACGGTCGGAATTATGTTTCTGCGCATATGAAGGTCAAAGCTCATAAGATTTTGAAACAACTCTACCATTTGCGGTCGTGCCAGTCGCCTACTCCATATTTTGCCTTACGCAAGGTAAGCTTTTACAGTGAACCAGTTTCCAGTGCCGTATAAAAGTGTATTTTAAAATCATTTTCGAACTGCCCATTTTGATTTTTTTGTAAGAGTCCCCGTATATTAATTTTTTTTGGATAAGTTTTGCATCACCTTGTATTAAGAATACGATATTTACATACAGTAATGGTTGAATGATGTAATAAATTGAAAATCGTGTATAAAACTCTCATATCTACCTTTTTATTTTTTTTGGAAATCTGCTTGCGCCGCCGGCGTAAAGCAGCAATTTTTTCAATTTCCGTTTCACTGCACGAGGAGCTATCACTGTCTGTACATTCCTTTTCTGAGAGGGACAATTTCAGAGTTGCTTTACATATCTAAAAAAGATTGTTGATGAATTTGACATAATAAAATAAGTAAAAATAATTAAATTAAATATGCAAACGACTCAAACTGAAAAGATTGGCTAAAATAAAAGCATTTGTTAGCAGCAATTATCCTAGTTTATATTTCCTCTAATTATCTTATATTTAATTTGATCGCTTATTATTTTAAAGCAAAAATAAAAAACTTATGAAACAAATAGGTAGACAAAAAATACTATTGCCTTCCTTAAAAATAATTGATGGTTATTAGGTTAAGTCGCTAGCTCAAGTTTGCTTAATCTACGTCAGATATATTTGGAGATATATAATTGGTCTTTTTTGATATTTTTCAAACATGTTGTTACCCCGTACATCGAAAACTAGACCGGTTAAAATATAAGTTCATGAGACCAAGATAAAAGCAAATGTTAGAATCAATCTTAAATCACATAATATCACATCCTGATTTGAACATTCCAGTTACGATTTTTGAAAAAGCTTTTGTTAATTCAATTTGTTAGCTATGAAATGTGCTTTCGAAAATGTTAAAATAACAACCATTAGAAAGCTGTTATGTAAACAACTTATATATAAAATACCTGTTACATCTCTCTGTGATCCGTTGTTAAAAGCAGTGACGCACAAATAATGTTGCCAGGGGGGAGAGGTAAGGCTTTAAAACTCGTAAAGCTTCAAATTTATATTATTATATTTGATTTTGCAAATAAAAAAGGGTTATGGGAATCACTTGTAATGGTGGTTCTCATCTTCCAACCCACCTTGCGTAGGTCAGTTATACTATTAGATCAAACTACATAATGTTTGTTTGTACACACGTCATATATATTATATATTAATAATTTTTAAACGGCAATACATTATGTTTGTATTTTTTTGCAAATCTTTTATTTTATTAATTTAAATAAAATATAAAAATCATATGTAAGAAATCATTATTCTCTTTAAAAGAGATAATCAATGAAGTAATGAATTAAAATTATTTGTAATTCGTATTCGGTAAATAACAATTCACGTAAAAGCAATGTCGTGTTACATATAACATCTAACGCTGAAGAATGATTGAAAAAGTGATTATATCTTAAATTAATATTAAAACATCCCAAACAAAATTACAATACACCATTAAACCATTTTCACATTTGGATCATGTTCTACTAATGAACATTTTACTTAAAGTAGGATTTTAAAATTTGGTGTTAGCAAACAAGAAAGAAAAGGAATTCATTTTCGATCATTAAAGCAAATTAATAATTATGTAAATAAAATAAAATATACAGCAGATATGTCGAACACATGCTTTTCAAAATACTGATGTATTAAGGTGTGAACAGCTCGCGATCATTCAATAGTCTGTTCGCAAAATGTATGTGATGAGATTGCGAACAGCTGATACAACAGCATCTTTTTGTTCACCTCCAACTTGTGCTTCACCGGCAAACGTAAAACGAGCAATTCATACACAGTTACAAGGCTTGCGCGCGATCAGCTCGCGTACGCTTCGCAAACAAGTCGCGAACAGCTACATACCGACATCATCGTTCGAAACAGATCAGATTCTCGCTTGCGCCGACCATATTGTTTATCTTCTAGACTATCTAGTCTAGACGACAACAGGGTCATCCGAGGAACTGCAAAAGCCAGCCTTGAAAACAGACCAGGAGATGTAAGTAGATATACATATAATGCTTTTGTCGTATGCCAGTTTTCGACTTTGGATAATCTAATTCTTCCACACACCATTCTTTTTGTTTTATTTTTACATTTAGTTAAGTCAACATTCTACAAATCTTTCTTTTCCTAATATTTTTTCTGTAAGCATAAGTAGCTACAACTTTTTCATATGTTACTCCATAAATGGGACAAAATAAACAACATTTCAACCGTCTATGCCAAACCGAGATTCGGCGAACATATCTTTTAAAAATACAGACGTTTGGCGAGCTCCACGTAAATAGAGATAAATGACGCTAACATTACAAGAACTGTTCGCGATCTCAATATTTTGCAAAAAGACTGTTGCACGTTCTGATCGCGAGTAGAGCTTATAACTGCTTACTGTTACACAATATGTTTGCCGGCCGATACGCAGGTTATACAAAAAAAGTAATTTAACATCAATTAAATTATGTTGATTCCACTAATTTTAACTACAATACTACTCAACAAAATATAATTTTGAACTAATAATTCAGTTATTTACGGGTAAAGGTTTTCTCTTGGCAGACGAACTCTTGGTTAGTTTCGATTTTGGAACTGACGACAGTTTCGGTTTTAATTTTTTACTATCGATCGCTGGCGAAGGAGGTGGCACATTTGGAATAACGATGTCATCGTCACGTCCTACTTCATCGCTTGTACTTGACGACGCCCCTTCGTCACTGAAAAATAAAATCACATATTATTCATATAAAAATGAAAATTTGACTACATTACTATATAGGATGTTACTTCATAACATCCTGATCAAAATCCTTCATGGGTCCAACGTCTGAAAATGGTCAGTTTTAGAGATAGATATTATCTCGAGCGTAGACGTAATGGTTTGTCATTGTTCATTGTAAACGAATCATTAATACTGGTGACGCCGCGATTTAGGGAATTTCCGTTACCAGCACCGCCGTGCGATGTTGGGTTGCCTAAACTCCGCGGTCACGTGACTTGTAAACATTGATGAAGACTCTGTACACACGTATGTGTGAGTGAGAGTGTGTTTATATGTCCGAATACATTAGAAAAATAACTTTGCTTGCTCTATTTTAATTTATGACACTAAATTTTCGTTGATAATAGCGGTAATAGCGTTCTAAGAAAAAAATGTCACATTTAAATTTGTTTTTGGCAACATCCCACATTGCCAACTTAATGCAGTTGTTTAGATTACCTTGATTGCGCGAGGGTTGAGTATAATAAAATAGATGTATGAAGAAAAAAATAAGTTGTTTCTTTTTAATAGATTTAGTTAAATATTTACGCGAGAGGTAAGAATGATTCACATAAAACTCGCCGGCTCAGTAGATCGTACTGCTTTTCCTAACTAAACATTTATTTATTAATTTCAAGTGTATTTAAAATATACAGGATGATTCACATAAAACTCGCTGGCTCAGTAGCTCATAATGCTTTTCCTAACGTAACATTTATTTATTTCAAGTGTATTTAAAATATATAGGATAATTCACATAAAAGTCACCGGCCCGATAGCTTGATAATGGAAAGAGATTTTTTCATTCTGAAAAATGCAATTTATAGACTCTTAGACCTCTTTTATGCACGCGTTTTTCTCCTCTCAACGCGAAATTGAGAAAAACGCGGTATATTTCTGCTCCATTTTATGCACGCGTATTCTATCAGTTGTCGCCAGTTTCATGCCACACAGTAGTCAGTGAAGTACATGAAAATGGATCCGTGTATATTGTATTTGTGCTATAAAAAAATATGTAATAGAAAAAATAAGAGGCGATGGGCAGTACATCCAATTAATAGAAATAGAATTCAATTGCGTCCATTGCATCCATGTCCCGCTTGATCAATAGCTAAACTAAAACTAAAACAAACTGTGCTAAAACTATTCTTGACAGACAGAGCCACTGGACTTGCGACAAAGAGCGCTTTGCATAAAAACGCCGATATACTTTCGTGCTTTTTCCGAACGCGTGTCGCTAAGCGTTCTGTAAAGCCATCGCGACAGAATTGAAAACGCGAGAAGAAAATAGAAAATTTATTCGAAGAGCGAAATCGCTGTTCTTCCGGATAAATCACGTCATAGGTATGTGCCAAAATCTTGAAGATAGTAATGCTGCACCCTTTATGACGTTACAAGATCAATGACCACCATAAAGATCAGTAATCGCTGTCTGCTGTGGCAGATCGCGGTTTGTGTGCTGAAACCTTTAATGTCCAAAGCATTTTCATAAATGTGTTTTTTAGGCAGTATTTGTGAAAAATAAGGTTGTCACTTTCAAACTTTTACCAAATTGCAACGGTACTTACCTCGAATAATCACTTAGCCTTATATTTGTGGGTTCATCGGCATTTGAACCTTCTTTAGTTAACCTGTCGATTATTTTGATCCTCAATTTCTCCTAAGAAAAACACAGAATCAGTTAAAACATGTATTTTTAACTACATTAGAGTATTATGAAAAAAAAGGCAAAATGCAATGACAATTAATGTAGTAAATGCATATAAGAGATGTTTTCGATGTACCTTTCTTGGATCGTCATCATAAAAATCTAACAGAGTTTGACAAAACGATTTTCCCATCTGTTCATAATCTTGAGTGGTAAAATGGGTTTCCGTTCTATTTCCAAGTGTCGATCCTGCAAATGAAGCTTCTATCGTATAACTGTTAGCAATGCCCATCATCCACATTACCACTCGACCGGTTCCCTCTTTCGATTTCTGAACCCGAAATTTACAACTTTCAAATGAAAACTAAAAAAATATATATGATTCAGCATCTGTCAAAGCAGATAGCACAGACATATTTCCCAATTTACTACTATAAATAGATTAAAATTTTTCTAAACAGTTAAACAGAAAAAACTAGAATATGCCACAATTTCAGAGAGTAGGAAAGTTTTTTTAAGTGTCTTGTGAAAGAGCAGTTCCTACTGGAAATGAGCTTGAATATGAATATGTTTCAGTAGTTTTATTTGAATAACGTTTTTAATTAATAAAATTAAATGGCAGAAACTGAAAAACTCTGAATGTGTTTGTGTTTGTTACTTTTTTTAGGTTCCTTGGCCTAAGATCATTTGCTAGTAATTTTAATTGTCGTTTTCTAAATACGTATAATACATTTAAAAAAATATTTACCTTATCAGCTGTATTTTTGTGCAGCATTAATGGAAAAACTTGTTCTTGCAACCTTCTGTCCCCACCACGCCGATTTTCGCAGCCATATATAAATATGTTATGTTTTCTCGAATGCGCATGCAAGTCGCAATACATGGCAACCCCGCATTCTTCTAAAAGCCTAAAAAGCTGATGATCACTAACAAATATACATTAAAATTCATGCATAAAAATAATTAACAATTGATTTTATGAGATTGGAAACTACTAGAAAAATTTTCCAAGAAATTTTATATATGAGTATATTTAAATATAAATTCTGAGAATTTGTATAAAGTTATCGGAACATGGGGTACCTACTGAAAGGACACAGCAACTAGCTTCATGCGAATTCAAATTTATTTCATTTTCGAATTTTACTAAAATTTGCTAAAACTGATCGTTTACTTTTCTATGCTGTATGTATGTATGTACTAAATTATTTTTCAATATTTTCATAGTGGGTAGTAGATTAAAAAATGAGAATCCCTGACCAGAATTTGGTTTTTATAATATAGCATCCTGTATATACATATTCAGGTGGAACACCTTTTCGCAATTACAGAGATATAAGGTTTGATGGGTCTATCTCTAATAGTAATGGAGATGTGGTTAATGATTGTGCCATATAGATATTAGGCCTTTTAACTGTATCTCTATTAGAAAAGATCCCACTAAACTTTATGAAAATGCAATAGAAATAAAGTACCTATCCATTTACATATATAAATACAAGTCGTTTCTCACAATCCTTTGGACATATCTTCCATATTATTAGAAATACAACCGTCATCCAACAACATCAATACAATGCAATACAATCAACACCATAGAGGTTGTCTCAAACTCGATAGGATACTGTTAGAATACAAAAAAAATAAATAAAATTTGGGACACGTGGTGTTAAATGGGATGAGGATGAAACAGACTTAATTTTACAGCTCAAATTGTAGTAAATGTTGATCATAACCTTTTACGGCACGTTATTTGGACGGACGAAAGTCGGTTTGTCAGTAATGGTTTGACAAACAGGCGCAACGAACACTACTGGTCCATTGAAAATCCCCACATTGTAAATCCAGTTCAAAACCAAGGCCATTTTAGAGTAAATGTATGGTGCGACATCATCGGTAGGCACTTAATTGGGCCCTATTTTTAAAAATATACATCGAACAGCGTTAGTTACCTTTTCTTACAAGAAGAACTTCCTGCACTTCTGGAGAATGTGTCTTTGCAGCTAATGAGATACCTATGGTTTCAGCACGACAAGGCCAGGATTGTGCAGCAATATTTAGATAAAACTTTTCCAGAAAAATGGATTGAGCTTAATGTACCTATTCAGTGGCCCGGAAAGTCACCAGATCAAACACCCCTCCATTTTTATGGGGGGGGGGGGTGGGGGAATTATAAAACAAGGCTTGCACAACACCTTAGCGAGATATTAATCATTTGAAAGAAAAAATCACAAACGGCGAAATGTTAATAAACTCAGCTCACAGTTTATTAAAAAAAAGGAGAACTTTTTAATAGGAAAAACATTTGGATATGTTTCTGGAAAAAATATAATAGATCACGTTATTAGTCGTTTCTGACAAATCCCAAAGATAACACTCGATTAAAAATGAAGCTTATCTCATCCCAATTAACACCACGTGTCCCAAATTTTATTTAATATTTTTGTATCCTCACATGCACAGTAGGCCCGTACTATCGAGTTTGAGACACCCTCTACATACCACTATAATCGCAAGGTCTTGTAGGTATCTAAATATGTCCAAATATACAAGGTGTTCTATTTACAAAATAAAGGTCTTTGCAATGTTCATTTGTTTGATATGAAAATTTACGCGCATACCATATTTTTTTATCATACAGACTATAGTCACAAAGGTGGACCTTCATTTGTCACAATATAAATACATTTCTGGTATATCTTGCTAGTATGGCAATGTTTTTGGGATAAATTACCGCAATGAAAAGGTGGCCAAAATCTTGTTTTAATTTTGGCCTTTACAATGGAATCCTTTGAAATTTGGTACAGGTAAGTTTTTGAGAATGCTCACTGAATACGTGAATATCCTTTTCAAGGTTAAGTTCTTTACAGAACATGTATATTACAATGTAAAATTTTGTTGTGCATAAAAACAGTTTTTCAAAAATATTACAGGAGTTACTCTTACTAATTTTTGGAAATTTCAGCTTATACGGAGCTAGAGCGATGACGACGTATAAAATAGCAAGATATGTCGAGTTTTGGTATAACCAGAGCTGAAGTCGTCCTGAATATGTTTTTATTTACGCTGAAATTTTCAGAAAAAAATAATGAGTGGGATTTCTAATACCGCAATAAATCACTCTATGTGAAAGAATTATTGTAATTACAACAACCAAAAAAATAAAAATCATGCAAAATATCACCTAAGAGTAATACAACTATGCCAAACCTTCTAACCATTAGCTTGGTATACCAAATGGACGGGTAAGCATCTCGCATCACCGTTCGATATTGGCGATTCAGATCTTTGGCCGAAAGTGAGCATCGATTGTTTCCAACAATTACACCATCCGGGTTTAACATTGGCACTATTTTAAAAATAAATTTATCACGTAATTCTTTGGCAGGTGCGGAGTCACTAGTCAAGAAATCTAAAAAGCCTTTCATCATCCAAGACGACGGCGTTTCTCCTGGATGGACTCTAGCCGTTATTACAACAGCTCTTTTTTTCTGAAATTTAAAATGGCATTAATTATTTATGTAAATCATATGTACAGTGTGACCTACTTTACAGGGACACTTTAACTTCAAAAAACTCTATTACATTACATGACATCTGAATATATTTTCAGTTACCAAAAAATCTGACTACACCACTGAATTTTGCACTTCCTGAATTGCATTTGTACCAAATTTGATGAAAATATATTTCCCACTGATTGTACAATTTCACTTATTTTTGTTCTTCCTAAACGAGGTGCGCAATGAAATTAGAAAATAAGGGAAGTAAATATTCACTAATTTGCTCTTTTTGAATGTTAAGGCTCGTCTCTGTTAAATCAAAAGTAGGTATACAAAAAACAACAAAGGGGAGCAATAACTAAGGTTTGTAAGGAAACTACTACCCAAACGTTTAGGAATTTTTATGAAAAATTTTCTAAAGCGAAGTAACAAATGCATAGATTAAAACGGAAGATAATCCAGTGGTGTAGTCAGCATTAAATAAAAATATGACCAATTCACAGCCACGCAAAAAAAAAGAAAAATTGTCTGTACTTTTCATGCGACATATGTTATCCGTAGTATTTTTGCCTCCTGATCACGAATTCGGGTGTCAGAATTGAGAAATCACATCACAGGAATTTCCTAACCTCAAAAAACAGGTCAAAAATAGCAAAAATTACACGAAAAAATGCAAGGAAAAATACAATTTTTTTTTTCTATATTCAAATGTTCATTTACATGGATAAGACCCTGTCGAATGTGAATCCGCAGAATTGATGGTTCTTTTTCTAACCTAAAAAAAACGAGTCCGTCAGATATCACGAATTTTCAAAAAATAACACACCCCAAATTTGGAATACGGGGGTTTTCGGGGTCGCTGATCACGGATTTGAGGTCAATTTTGCAAAATTCAAGATGGCGGATATAACATGGCCGATCAAATTTTCAAAAAATAACACATTCGCGACAAATTTGGTATACGGGGGTTTTCGGGGTCACTGATCACGAATCCGTGAAAATTCGGGATATCTGACCTTAATTGATCCGTTTTTTTGAGGTTAGAAAAAGAACCATCAATTCTGACCGTGGATTCACGTTCGGCGGGGTCTTAACCATATAAATGAACATTTGAATATAGAAAAAAAATTTGTTTGTATTTTTCCTAGCACTTTTTCGTGAATTTTTGCTATTTTTGACCTGTTTTTTTCAGGGTTAGAAAATTCCTGTGATGTGATAGCTCAATTCTGACACCGGATTCGTGATCAGGAAGCAAAAATACTGCAGATAACATATGTCGCATGAAAAGTACAGACAGCTTTTTATTTTCTGTGTGGCTGTGTTATTTAACAACCAAAAAATGGTAAGTAGGTTTCGATAATTGAAAATAAATTCAAATGTCACTTTTTAAGCTCCCTCTTTCAAGAATAACTGTATTAAATTGAACAATAAATATCTTTTTTTTTTTAGGATATTTTCATTTAAGATGGGTTAAATTATGTAAGTATAAATTGTTACCACAAAATTTTGTTACCTTAACATCATTTTTAAAAAAGTATGTACATAAGTATTACATTGTACCTATAGATTGTCACATTTTCGATGAAACCCAAGGGTATCCCAGAAACTATTACAGATAGGCAAAACACCGTTCATATTTTCTCAAATTATTTATATTTTTCTCTATTTGAGTATTTTACCACCTGTAAGCTATGGAAGCAGATAAACCAAATGTTTACAGGGTGCTAAACTTCTCTGTGTTCTCTGTTGTGAAAATGTTAAGAAAATATATTTGTTTCTTTAATCCTGCTCGAAAATGAGTCAATTTTCCTATATCTCTAATAATTTCGGAAATATAATGGATTCTCAGAGAAACTTAGACTGTCTGAAAAAATTAAAGTCTACATTCTTCCTTCACATCCAATGAAATAACTTCTATATAGTATATTTCTTCCCTACATTTTCCACTCCACCTACAGTTGTTATTTTAGGAGATAGGAAAAAATGTTAAAAATAAAAGCTGTATTTCTGTATCAGATCAAAAAAATAAACATCACAAAGATGTCAAAACAACCGCCTTTTGTTTTTCTAAATAGAACGTTCCATATATCTTTATGTCTATTTCTAGTAAACAACATATGGCTGCCTGCCCAGGACCGTAGCCGGGAGGTAGGGTAGTGTACAGGTCAGGATTTTGACCACCTGACAAAAGTTTTGCACCCACTCTATCTTAATGCAACTAAAAATTGCCTATGATAGATCCTACTAACATTACATATCCCTTATATGCCCTGATATGAAAATAGTTCGTTAATTGAATGTTGTCCTGGCTGCGGTCCTACCATAAACTCAATGTTTTTTCAGCAACCGACTATTTGATAAACATATATTTACACTGTGTTGTCTAACTATATACATCGGGATCCATAAAAATCTATTTATTCTGACATTTCTGCGATATCTATATGCTTAATTTTTTATCCGATATATTTTTTTTCAAAATCAATAGCCGTAGTTGGGATGCAAAATATAGGAAAACAAGCTGTGCGTTATTTGGAAAGTACCCTATGACTTACTTTATTTTCTCCAGAAATAGCTGGCGAAGTGATTGTCACATAATAAATGTTATTCCCAGCTAGACTTTTACACAACAATCTGACTGAGCTGAAAGTGGATTTAATAGGATGTGTGGCAATTTCAGACAAATAATCCTGTAAGTCTGAATACGTATATGGATAACACTGAGCAAGATACACTTCATCATCGTCATGAGGGAATTTTACTGTAAAAGACAATGTATATGTCATCTGTTGATCGGGATCATCTGGAACCCTGTAAAATTAATACCTGGAAATACTTTTTAACTATAGATAAAAGTTGGTATAATAAGGTGCGATATTCAAAAACGCAGATCACGACAATCATATCATAGGTTATTAAAATCAGGATACCACCCATCAATATTATGAATACAACATGATACGCCAGTAGCCAAAACTACAATCAATAATTTTGCTGCAAATTAACATTGTAAAATCAATCTAAAGTATGGAATTAAATTATTATAAATTAAGAAAACAATAAAAAATTTACATGTTACAACTTATAACGTATTTTCAATCCCCTTTGTTCCCCGGTGGTACCACTCTTTCTTATAAATGTAATTTAGGTCAGCGGCGTAGCAATTTTTATTTTGACCAAGAGTTTTGTAATGGTACTTTACTGGAACTACAAATTTGAAAATAATGAGGTCGTTTCCCATCTTTTCTATTTATCTATTAATTTTTTCTTTCATTTAAACATGGTACGTATTAAAAAACTTACACATTGTCGTTGCTGAAATATGTTATATTTTGCCCGCATCTTCTCCATCCTATAGAATGTAACTGAGAGTCTTTGGTAGAATACATTAATGGCTTCATTCCTTCATTGTACAAACTACTTTCTTTTGAACAATTTGTAATAGAGAATCTAAAAATAATAAACAGTACCTAAGTAAAAAAATACCTTCAAAAATAAACTCATTTGCATATTAAAAACAGTTTGAAGTGCAGAAATTTTGAAATATAAATAATTCTAAGTAATGAACCTGGCATTTTTCTTGCAAATGCATTGTTGCCAGGTTGCCATTTTTTTCAAGTACAATAGAAAACTTTATTTTTTAAATACAGCCTTTATATTTTTAGTTATGTGAGTAGAATACCTTCTTATCACTATAGAGATATAAAGTTTGACAGATCTACTCCTAATACATAGTAAGAGATATCCGTAAAGTTTGACATCAATTAGACAATCCGGAAAAAGATACATACATATGTGTGTTGTGAGTTGGATGCAGTTTAAAAGAAGGAAAACATATTTTCCATTTTATGAAAAAGGCATTATTTTAAATAAAAATCTTCCTTTGTTTAAATGTAGAAAAATTTGGTTTTAAGTATGTCAATACTTAGAGGATGTCCTTTAGAAAGAAGTGATTTAGTTTATCCTTAGGCCAATAGATGGTCTCACTAGAAATACCTATTTCTGAAAAGTCCTGTTTACCTTGAAACGCACCTTCTATATTTATCTTTAGATTTAAATGTTTGATTATTGAACTTACCTGTATAAAAAACCTTTCTTGGTATTGGTGATCCTAAAATAGAACCACTGCATATGCCTGCTGGTATACATATCAGCCCTAAGGTGCAGTTCATAAAAATTTGGCGTTATCATAATAGCTCTTGCTAAATTTGCCGATTCAAATCTTGACTCAAACTTAAGAGTGTCTTGTTCCGGGCATAAATTTGTAGATAATAAATAGTTGCTGCCACCAACACTGGATCTACTAAACTAAAAAAAAATACAAATCTTGTAATATAATATTTGGTGGTATTCATGATTACAAATAACCTAGCAAGATTTGAACATAAAAGAAAGTTATGTTTTATAAAATAAATGTAGCTATGTAGATCATCTTTAATTTCGCTTAATGACAAAAATTTGTATTATTAATAAAATAAAATTAAAATGTTAATAATAAAATAATGATGTTATGTAACTCCCTTAACGTTGAGTTTTGAAAAAGTGTCATATGATTTTTGTAATAATTTCTTGACACCCTAGATGCTCTTCTGTATAGTGAAAGTTATGAAGGCATCGTAGCCTTTTCACGTGCGTTTTCACATGGCAAAAGTACCAAGGTATACAAAAATAAAGTAAATTACACACATTAACTTACATAGTTAACTGCACTTATTGGGGTATACTGATAGACTATAATTCCACACTCATCTCCTGTTGGTTTCGGTTGGCATTCATTCCCAGTTGCTATGTAATACGGTTCCAAAGACGGAGGGACATAACTAATGTGTTTAACCCTCTCTTCTAACACCTTGAGGAAGAGATATTCAAATATGTAATTCCAACATATTAAAATTGTTTCACGTATTTAGTCACGTATTGCGTCTCGTCGTTTTCGTTTTGGCCAAATTTTAATGGCGAAAGACATAAATTAAGGAAAAAGTTGAGTTAAGCAAAGGTTATTTCAATTTGCAGAATACAGGCAAGTGTGGCTATGAACAGAAAAGACGATTATTTTAATTATTGTCTCTTTATTTTTGTCAAAACATGTTTCACAAGTTGATTTGAATTTTTCTGCAATTTTCCTTAATTTGAATTACATTGCAATCATAACAAATGAATTCCGATCACTACTACATTTTTGGTGAATTATGTTTTTAAGAACCATAAAAAAATCATCACCCCACACGTTAGGGATCCGGTTACGATCGTGAGTTCGCCGTTTTAGGGGTAATAACCCTTATACCTCCCTAGGTCCAAGTATGGGGGCTTTATTTGACTTTGACGAGGAACAATTTAATTACTCGTTGAACACAATACCACTACTACACCGGAAAGGGTTGAATATTACAAAAATAATGTTCTGGTATCGACTTAATTTTCCAGTTCATTTTTTATAAAATCTCCTAAACAATTAAAAGCTTCTTTATTAATATTAATGCAAAACAAAAAGCCTGCAAAACAAAAAATTGTACAAGCATATGATTCATCTATAGACGAATATCTATTTTTATGATTTGCCGTGACGTATCGATTCAGTTATTTATGTGATGACTGGCAGAAAGTACTAGGCAGAATGATATTTGGTGGTACACAACATGAAAATTTTATGAATATTGAAAAAAAATACTAATATGCATTTCCAGAATAAAAATATGAAATAATGAAAGAAAGAAGTATTTTTCTGTATATTTATTTAGTCCTTTGGTTATTAACAATTGGATATATATTTAAAATTACAATTACATTACTATAACAATTCCAGAACATGTCTTGTGTTTTTTTAGATGGATACAGCGTAACTTATCAAGGAGTTACAAAAAAGTAGGTCAAGCTGTTAATCACAAATACTTCGAAAATAATAGAGCTTTTCTTAATGAAGGCTTAAGTTTGTCATTAGACTTTTTTATTTATTTTTTTTAGAATTAAATAATCCTAATCCTGTTCTGTTCCAAACATAAAATGACTAAATAAGAAATAAATTTTAAACATACATATTTTTTGTTGTCCTCAAAACCATCTTAAATATTGATCTTGCATAATGAACTTTTTTAATAGATGAACAAGCCTAGACTGTATTATCTATGTTTTCGTATGTAACATTATATATTTCAATATAGAGCCAAAATTGTAAGAGAGAAAGCAATGGAGTTCTGGCATAATTAAGAATTAAACTCAATCCCTGTTGTGTGGTTGAGGCCGACTTCAGATGATACGGGCGCTTTCCAAATATTTGTCAAACGTAAACAAATGTCGTATTGTGTGGATGCTGCATATCGGCACATTCAAAAGCATGTCTTCACTCGCCAAATATTCGACAAAGCTATTTAAATTTATGTTTGAAGGAATATTTGTCATGAGGCTATAGATTTTAGCCAAATTATCTGCAAATATTTAACACATTATTTGTGTTTGACGAATGTTTGGCGAGGGACCGTTTTATATGGAGCTGGTTTAATAATCTTATGGAATGCTTAATATTCTAAGGTAGGTAACTAAAAGCTGTCATAAGCGTGAACCAGACATTTTTACAATTATAAATAAAATTTGTTTTTTATGTGAAACATCCTCCTATACTGATTTCTTCAATTTATGAGACTAGATTAGTATATCTGACATTCTAACTTTACCTGACATTCTGTTGGCCATCTAGGTGGTTGCAAAGTAAAACTTATGTCTTTGTTAACAGTACACCAGTCTTTAGAAGAAGTTTCTTTAACTTTGTACTTTGATTCGTCTTCTTCTTCATATTGACATTTTAACAAAAAATTTGAAAAATAGCTACCAGAACATGTGAGCTGTGGAGGAAACAATGCCGCTTGCAGAGACTTTACAGTTGAATCCGTGTCTGAAACAAAAATGTCTCATACTGTTATGTGCAGTGGAGTGTTATACAAATAGAAATACAAAGAATATAATATAACTAAATAGGTTGCAAACGAACGAAGATATTATAAAAATAGCAATAAATAAAGATGAATCAAATGACTAAAAATATTGAGCGAATAACACTATGAGAGTCTAATAAAAATAAATATCTAATGAAATGGATAATATATACAAAATGTATTGATATGTAACCAAAAAGATACAGGAAATATTATTTAATTAGAGTTTTGTCCCGTTGGAATGGAATTTTGAATAAAATTTGAAAATAAATGAAATTTTGAAACTGACTTGTAACTTATTTGCTTCTTCAATGATATGACTTTGTTGCTAGGAATTCATTTTAATTAAGAATCTCTCATTAAAATATTCATTCGTTTAGAATATGAAATTGTAAAGGAGGTGATAATAATGTATTTTTTAAGGATTTTTTTTTATGGTCTTAAACATATTTATCGCGAAATACCATTGTCTGCATTGGGACATGATGTCATTGAAATTTACTAGAAATACCTTTTTATATCAATCAACAAACTTCGTTATTATAATTATGATTGACAGGAAATTAATTTTGAATATTGTTAGTATAGTTTACTAGAATAGATTTGTTGATTGTTAAAATAACTACCTATACATAGGAAGGATATAACTTTAATAAGGTTTTTTTTATTGACACTACTTTAAATAGCAGTAGAATTTCAAATATTATCTGATTTATTTCTTTGTTTTAAATATAAAGATGATCTACTTTCATGTTTTTCGTACAAACTTAAAAAAAATGAAAATTGGCATAATTTTAGTTCAAATAGAACTTATAACAAATATTTTACATCCGATATCGATAAAATATTTCTTTGTTTAAAGGTCGCCTAGAACTAAATTTGACTTATTAATTTATTAGATCAATATATATTTCTCTGCAATTCCTGGATTCAGCAAGTCTGCATTGACTGTAATATTACAGCAATAAATAATTCATTATGGTTTGTAACATGAAATATGCAAATAAGGAAATATCGACAATGTTTCTAAATCATGAAATTTTAATTTGAAAAAAGATATTGTTATTATCACTGTTTAAATATTAACAGAACAAAAGAAAACGTTATTTATATATTTACACAATTAAATTATTTGAATGGTTTAGAATGAAAATCAATTAATTATATTTATCAATAATCCACCACTAATTTATCTTTATAAAAATGTAATTTTAACGGTATATAGCATTGCTATTAAAATTATTTTGGAATACTAATTTATCAAGGGTTGTTTTAAAAACTATTGTTTGAATATTTCTGATAATACCGTTTATGCTTGTAGATATTGATACATTTTATGATAAATGTTACTGTAATATATCAGCAAAAATAAATCAGAGTTTCAGTTTTTCATTATAAACTGAAATACTTCCAAATGTAAATTAACAGCCATTTAAAATCTAAATAGTTGTGAATCTTAACTAACAAAGTAACTTTACTCACCTTTTATTTTACTTTCACTGTCCGATTCCATTGTGCTGTATCCCTTTCTTTTATATAATTAGATGTTATCTGCACCTGCATTCCATATTTTATTTCTACAATTTCTGGCAACCCTACAGTCACTTATGACAGTCCCTATTTTTATGCCCAGCAACCCAACTACATTTCCATGGGGATGGCAATCAATAATAGTGAAACCAGTAAGGCATTTACCTATCTCGGGCTTTCGCTTTTTCCCACCACTGAAGTCGTATGCAAATTTCGCTGAAATGCAAACAAATAATTCATTACCTTCCAACGTGACACATGAATTAATGTACTTAAAATAAATTTAGTTTATGTCTGTATTGTATGTTACTTTATACCTACGTATATATGAATGTATTTGAATTATTTCGTATTTTATCAATTGCTGTGAATAAAGTTTTTAACAGACACTCTAGGAAGTAAATATTATAATTATAGTTTTAATATAAAAATAGGTGTTGCTAAAAGCAATATTGTGCAAAGATCTTTTTCGACTAGGTAACAGATAAAACTTAAAAATATCTAACCATAATACTGTAGGTAACAAATTGTCAACAAGAATAATTAATCATATTTTATAGACGATTCATTTAGGTAAAATCTACATAATGTACACAGCACCATAATTTCAAAAATAAATTAAAATATAGTTCGCCATTACGCAACTTGCTTCCATAAATAGCTATTTGATATATTTTGTATCATTTAACTTAATATTATTAAAAAATAATATAAATTAATATAAGTTTTAAGTTCTCCTCAAAGCAGATGATTTATTTTGATTTTGATCTTTTTTTAATTTTAATTTATGCATAAAGCTGTAACCATAAATAATAAAGTATGTCGGTAAGTATATGAAAAATCAAGTGGACTAAAAATACATACAGATTGAAATTAAGATACTTACGAGTATATTAAACGATGCATAGATTATAATATTTTTCACACAAGATGAACACATTTCTTTCAGTTTTCTATATCTTTATTGCTACAATAATATAAATATAAGTTATAGTTTCTAACGTAGTACAAACGATTGTCCATATTGATATACATATATCTAAACCTAATAAATGCATGCTTCTTGCCTATATGTCATGTATATAACTATGATTTTTAATTGCTTATAATGTTAATGAAGAACAAAGCAACCATGAATAAGTCATCCTTTTCTCTTCTAATAATTTTATACGCCTACGTATAAGGATATAAAGAGGGATAACATGATATAACAAAAAAAAAACCTTAACAGGAATCCTTAGGTACTACTTATACGAATTCGTTTCGCTGTTTAGAAGTTCAATAACTTCTGATTTCTGAGCATTCAGGACTAAGTACATGGGCGCCGTTCGAGGATGGGCAACAGGGAGACAGTTGCCCCCTAGATAGTTAACTAAATGCACAATATCAGATACACGAGACACATATACAGGGTAGGAAAGTCCCCATGGTTCATCGGCCGTTAAGTGAGAGCGATAAAGAAAGTCACAGAAATCCGTGCGATAGAGAAAGATGGCTATAATGAAGGCGTCTAAAAGTCACCGCCTATTTCGCCCTTCCACAAATAAGATCCACTTCTTATTTGTGGAAGGGCGAAATGGGCGGCGACTATTAGACGCCTTCATTATAGTCATCTTTCTCTATCGCACGGATTTCTATGACTTACTTTATCCCTCTCACGTAACGGCAGATGAACCATGGGGACTTTCCGACCCTGTATATACAAATATAGCAGGACACTATTACACGGATTACGCCGGATTAAATATTCCCCGTCGTTTAAAAACGTACATATCTCGCGCAAGTCTTTTCTATGCTTTTGCATCTATAAAACCAGTATTATTCATTAGATAAGTGTATTCTATAAGTTTTTTGTTCCTGTTGTTTAAAAGTTCAAATAAATTGTCATGTTATAAAAATAAAAAGTATATAGGTTTGTACGGATTTCTAATATCGCCTAATAATTTGTATAAGTAAATTTCCTTTACATTGGCAATTAAATTTCGGTAAAATTAGAATTAGTAAGATTAAGATTACATTAAAACACAACATTCTGTTTCACCTGTGTAATTTTTCTATTAAAACATTTTGGACATTCTTTAAAACGTTTAAGAGTACCCACTGGTACTTTTTATGTCCGTTAGAGAGTTATAACTCTGGCAGACAAAATTCACAACCTAAATGTTGTTATATGCAGTGTGGTTTATTTATCCTGATTCCAACGATCTTCATTATAAATTATTATCACGCACGTAATCTCCTAAATTTGTTATAGTTATCTTTACAAATATAGGAAATATACCTAGTTTATAATTATAATGTATTTTTATATTTTGATATAAATAGTTGGCCATGATAACAGCATATTTTTATACAAGTTTCCTTGTACGATGAAAAATTAGCACAGGGCAGAGCAGATTTTAGTTATTAAGCCATAGACATAGACACCACTTGGTCGAAAATGCCACGAAAATAAAACTGCAAATGAAGATCTGAAATTCGTAATTTTAGTTGAATAAATTGTTGAAGTTGAAGAATTGTTGTTCGGCTGAATAAAAGGTATGGGAGGGTATAAAAATTAAGAATTTCGAGAAAATATTTGGCAAAATAAATAAAATTTGTAGGAAACAACCACTCCGCTTGCTACAACCATCCAGAAGGTGTCAAGAAAAAATTATCTCCAATTTTTCTTTTTTGCTTTCATCCTCAGAAATAACGTACCTTCCTTTCAGATTATTCCTATACGTTGAAACAAGCTTTTTATGTCATTCCATTGTTTATACTTATTCAGTTTGATAGAATAATACATTTTTTGTATTCATCTTCAGAAACATCGTACATCCTCTAGTTAAGGTTGTTGCTAATGGCCTTTTCTAATGGTATATACAAGCTTTTTATGTCTCATTTCATTATGCTGAGGATGAAGACAAAAAAAGAAACTACTGTTTTGTCAAACTTAATAAATACATATCTCATTTGATTCGAAATACAGACCATTTGCGATGTACTTATTATTTTTTAAATTACATTACCTTTATCTTTTCGACATTGCGATACATAAAAATGGTAGGAATAATTGTGTGAGTAGAATATTTGAAAAACTTGAAAACGTGTTATCAGAAAAAATAACGGTTAAATTAAAGTAAAATATATGATTTTATAAATAAACTAAGAGATTAAGATTGAAATGTTATATTTTAGAGATACATATTATTTAGGTATTTTATTTTACATCATCTAGAAACCCAAACTCCAGCATATATATTTTTAGCCTCAATTAATCATAAGTTTGTTGTTATTAATACAACTTGCTACTTGCCAAATACATGTAAAATAAGTATTAAAATATGTGTATTGTGCATGTACGAGAATACACATGCATATATGTATATAAATAAACCGTTTTAAGCTGCACAAAAGAACTATAAACTGTAAAAATAAGCTTAGCAATGAACTCACATTTTAATAGTGCTTACATTCTAATTTGAAGGACAAATATTTTTTAAAACATGTAAACAATACGTTACCTTGAAGCAACAGGTATCAACACCACTATTCACCTCTAAATTGCAATTTGCAATGAACTAATATTCTACAAAAATCCATAAATTAAAAACTTGGCAAGGGAAACGTACCTGTTCTTGGACTGTAACCAAATTTTCATAAACATGAACGTATTGTGAATATTTAGCGACCGTTGAAATTTTTGAATGCCAAAAAAAAACAGGACGTGTGTTTAATTAATGTTGGTTATTTTCCTTTCACATAAATATACATACATATAATTATAGCTGGAGGTTGGCAGTTAAACAGCACAAAATATAGGATGCTTTCATGGATTTTGATTGGTTGTTAGCCGATCATCATTATCTCTAAGCATATTAAGGGGATCATACATCCTCATTTTGGAATAGTATTGAGCGACGATTCTGGATCAAGGCTTCATTTTTGCCTACGGTGCTGGGAGGTTAGTTGTCTGCTCGCCTGCAAAAGGATTTCCAGGATGCTCAGGCGTCTCCCCCTTCACGCCAACCTGCACGCTTGTGAGGTCTCCTTTAGAGAACCTGTATGCGAAGCTTTAGAAGCTTGAGTTGATTTCCCTCTTTGGAGGGTGTGTGTATGGTAGCTTTACGAGCTGTATATCCCTACGGATCTTCACCGATAATAGTTTACAGTTGTATTTCAAATAGCACTAACATTTTCAAAAATTGAAAGTGCTTTTCTGAAGGCGGTTCCGTATACATCTGGAGTAGCTAAACACGCTGAGATAGTCGATTTTTGAGCACGAGTTTCCGTCGAGAAAAAAAAATAAAAAATGTCGAAAACTGGAGGAGTTAGAAAGAAACTGAATGCAGTTTTGGATTGGACAGCGCCGTTACAGTCCACCGTAATTTTTTCAAATTTCAGTCCTAAAACTGTTTGAGACAATCGATAGACATCAAAATTGGCAAAAAATTAAAATGCTTATCTCAAAGTGGTGCCATACACAACTGGGGTCGTTTTGTCTCAATTTTTTCTTGTAAATACAATATTGTAATTTACACTATTATCATAGTGTAAGTTTGGTTGCCTAAGATTTTCAATCATTTTTAGTCCATGAAAATTTTCAAAAAATTAGAGAGTTCATCCATTTGAGTAACTAAATATTTATTTACTCATATGAGTTCATCTCAAGATGGTACCGTACTCAACTGGGGTCGCCAAACACGCTGGGATGGTCGATTTTTATGCAAATGCCTCCGTTAAGGAAATATATCGAACATCTCGGAAACTGGAGGGATAAGAGAGGAACTGTCTGCAGTTTTGGATTGATCAAGGAGTTTATGGTTCACAGATTTTTCTGAATCTTAAAACTTTTCGAGAAAATCGATGTCCATGAAAATTGTCAGAAATTTAAAGTGGTTATCTCAAGGCGGCGTCGTGCCAACTGGAGTCGCCGAACGCGCTGGGTTAGTCGGTATTTTTGCAAGTGACCCGTTAAGAAGAAAAATCTTTATTAATTTAATAGTTGATTGAAATAATAATACTTCAGTCAACGGTTTATATAATATCCAGTTCAATTTATTGGAAACGAGGCGGCGCCATCTATACATTAAATTCACCATTGAATATGAGATTGTTACAGTTAGCTACCTCCGAACGAATTCTTCCACAGTTTAGTGTAGCTTTTGTGCGACAGATGGTGCCGTGAAAATTTAGGACCATTTAATGCAACTTGATTGGTTACACAAGTGAAAAGTGAGCGTTAAGTGAGTGAGGTTATGTAATCATATGTAAACAACGAATCCATTATCACAGTAATATGATTAGAATATTATTTTATGGTGATAAGGGACTTGAAACTATATAATCTTATTTCAAATTTAAAATCTAATGTAAATTGTTATTTAATTCTCGATAAAAGTTATCTCGCGACTTGCTGAAGTAATAATAATTTTACTTATACCTTAACATTTGAGTTCCTAATCATAATAGCAAAAGTTGATATAGGCATTCAGATTCACAATGGGTCGAAAAGTAACTATTGCTGCTTCGACATTAAATCAGTGGGCTTTGGATTTTGAAGGAAACAGAGATAGAATATTGCAATCAATTTTGGAGGCTAAAGAATTGGGTGCTACTTTTCGAACTGGCCCTGAACTTGAAATTTGGTTAGTATTGAACTGTAATACCTAAGAGGTTGTTTAATTCACCAAATATACGAAGCTATGTTTTAATTTTATATTGCTATTCTTTATTTATGGCAGTACTATAATATATTGTTAGACGACCATAATTTTTATACAATGGTTAACTGCTTAGATACGTGTGCGTCAAATAAGGGTAGATTTTCCCAACGTCTACAGCTCAAGTTGACAATTGTGTACAAATTTAGTGAACCTTGCTTAGTTAAGTCTGTTAAATATCTTTAGAAATATTTGTGTAAATGTTCCATATTTGAAATTACACCATGTATATTTTTTTCCATTTATTTGGACAAATACTTTTTGTTTATTTCAGTGGTTACAGTTGTGAAGATCACTTTTATGAAAGTGATACGTTTTTACATTCATGGGAGGTTTTAGCAGAGTTGTTAACTGCTCAGCTATGTAAAGATATTTTGATAGACGTAGGAATGCCAGTGATGCATAGAAATGTTGCTTATAACTGCAGAGTAGTATTCCTAAATAAAAAAATTCTTCTTATACGACCTAAAAGAATACTTTGCGATAGTGGTAATTACAGGGAAAGTAGATGGTTTTCCAGTTGGAAAAAGGTCAGTATCTTTGTTAGAAATATGTAAAAGAATGTTAAAATTTATGTGAGGAGAAAACTAATTTATTATATGATCTTGAATAATGTTTGAATAATGTTGAGTAAAACAATAAAACGGTACAATTTATTTATTTTTATTTACTCTTCTACAGGATAGGGAAACTGAAGATTTCCATTTACCCAGGATGATTTCTAACATTACAGGTCAAAAATTAGTTCCTTTCGGGGATGCTGTAATATCCACTCTGGATACTTGTATAGGTAAGAAAATAAAAAAATAAATTAACCCAATATTTAGCATAGAACATTACAATTTAGATATTAGTCTATGATGTTGATTATCAATAAGTACGGATCAGTGTTGTGGAGAATAATGTACTACATTCAAGATAGAGGTGTTCTATAAAGCGGATGATTCTTATGCAATGGCAAGGCAACGTTTTTGTAGTTGCGTAATATTCGCCTTTATGACATATATTTACCAAAAGTACGTTTGAAAACTGAAATTAACTCTAAATTATCCTGGTATATGATTTTCAAATTTTAAGTTTCTAAATATTTAGTGCTGTATAATTAACTACTACCTTACATTCTTTATCATGAAAACCACGTGAGAATCTCCATATAACACCTTTTATTATATTGAAAATTTGCAGGCTTTGAAATTTGTGAAGAATTATGGTGCGCTCAAAGCACTCATGTGCCTCTAGCTCTAGATGGTGTTGAAATTATTTGTAACGGATCTGGAAGTCACAGTGAATTAAGAAAAGGTTATGTGATAGTAGACTTAGTGAAAAACGCAACTATGAAATGTGGTGGTTGTTACATTTTCAGTAACTTGCGGGGCTGTGACGGCCAAAGAGTATATTTCGATGGAGTTTCATCGATAACTTTAAATGGTCATATTTTAAGCAGAGCAAAACAATTTGCATTAGAAGAAGTTGTAAGTTTTTTAAATTTTATTATTATTTCTTGTAAGAAATGATTTCATTGTGGTTTACACTTTTTTTATAAAATAAATTTGTTTCAATAGTAGTAATGTTTAAATATTTTTTCTTAACGCGGCAAAAAATATTTTCTCATCATCCTGAATCTGGTCTAGAATGAGATTGAGCTGATATAAAGAAAATGTATATTTTTTCACATATCACACTTCATAATATAGGTACTGTTGTAGGAAGTAATCACAGCTACAATCGATTTAGAAGATATTCGGTCTTATAGAAATATGATGCGTTCTAATGCAAATTTAGCTTCATCTGGTCCAGGGTATCCCAGGATTCTAGTTGACTATTCCCTTTCGCCAGAAAACGATACAACTCTTCCTACGGCACAACCACTCAATTGGACGTTTCTATCTGCTGAAGAAGAAATAGCACAAGTACGTAAATAGCAGCATTAATCATATTTTAATAATGAAGTAGATTTTTTATTATTCCCAGACTCATATAGATAATTTTTATGATGGAAAAATTTTAAAAGGCAAAAAGAAATTGGGGAGGGTATTTTACTAATTCAATTTTTCAAGATAGAAATAAGTTACGTCTTATGAGAAGCTGTACTTTATTTTCTTCGCTAACTGATACCCGGATACATATAAGGTTGTGTTAAGTGAACGGTTAGATTAGTTAAAGCCGTTTTGTGAATATATAAATTACCTAGTCTGACCGATCGGTTGATTGCGCAACACTATCGGATTATCAGACATTTGAAGCCAATTATACTAATTTCATAACAACGCGCCTTTTCTGTTTCGATTTTCAAAGTGAGTTGCAGCACCCAAACATAAATAAAAAATCATAAAATCAAGCTTAATGATTTCGACTCTACACATATGAATTATAAAAATATCAGTCAATTAAATTTTCCATCAATTGAATGTAAATATACATATTTTAGGGTCCAGCCTGTTGGTTGTGGGATTATCTTAGACGATCTGGTCAAGGAGGATTTTTTTTGCCACTTAGTGGAGGAATAGACTCTTCAAGCACAGCACTAATAGTTTATTCAATGTGCAAACTAATTATGGACACCATACAACAAGGTGGAGGTACTTATATGTATTTCCAAATATAATAGGGATCATCGATATCGATAAATCAATCTTTCGTCCCTGGTCTCACAAATCGGCATAAACAGCTTAATTAAAGTCATTTTTAGATTAATTTTTAAATTGCCTTCTTAAAAAATTGTTCAAAAACCTCTTAGAGCACTTACAACTCTTTGTGTTATTGACAATAATATGTTCTTTATTATAAAAAGAAAAATAGATCAAATTTTGAAATTTCCCTCTTCTTTCACTAAAATCAATATTATTAGATGTCATAGAAAGTATCTCCCGAATTTTAGATCCAAAAGTTTTGACGGACCTCAGGAGAATAACAGGTGATCAGGAATATCTACCGAAAAGTGCCTCAGAATTATGTAACAGGTTCTTGGTCACATGTTATATGGGAACTGAGAACTCTTCCAAAGAAACCAAACAAAGAGCCTCTGCATTGGCAGCAGCAATAGGAAGGTTTGTAATGTCCAGATATTTAAAAGAAATATATTACATTTCTCATATTAGAAGAATATACGTTATGAAAAAAAATTTCAAATTTTACTATATTGTACGACACGATTATGGACCATACTGTATAATTTTCTCTTATTTCTTACAACTAAAAATTTTAATTTGTTTCAGTTATCACATGAATATAGTAATCGATAAGGCAATAAGTGCAGTTTTGGAAATATTCAGCACAGTAACTGGGCTTTTCCCGAAGTTTGCAGTAAATGGCGGTTGCCCGAGACAAAATCTAGCGCTTCAAAATATACAGGCTAGGGTCCGAATGGTACTATCCTATTTATTTGCCCAATTAATGCTTTGGGCTAGAGGAAGGCCTGGCGGGTTACTTGTTTTGGGATCGGCCAATGTGGATGAAGCTCTTAGAGGCTATATGACCAAGTATGATTGTTCAAGTGCCGATATTAACCCTATTGGTGGGATATCGAAGACCGATCTTCGGAGGTAAGTATATAAGGGTGTAACTTCTTAAATTCTGTCGTGAAAATTGATTTTTTTTTTTGTAAATTACATACTCTGCCACTGGACAGGCTCATGTCACCCTCCCATCTTATCATAATTCAGGTGTAAAGTCAACTTACGTTCCTTTGTAAACAATGATCATGCACGTGGCTACAAAACTATTGGTCAATGAAATGGATCGAACAGTGCAGTCTTTGCCAAAGACACATTTTCATATAGAACCATACTTTACAACATATAACAGTTTTTACTTCATGTGTATCATTCGCGGTATAATTTTGTTTCTGTTGTATGTTGTTTTGGATTAATTTAAGATTGAAACAGTTGATGAAATTTCCAAATCAGAAAAAAGAATAAAAACTTTTAGTATTTTGTTTAGAATTTTACAACTGTGTACTTTTATGAATGCCATTTTTTTTAAATATTATCATTGGTTGTTGCAGGGAAATAATCAATAATTATCTTACCACAATAAAATTATGATAAAGTTAGTAAATGAGAAAATAGTTATATTTTATTGAGTAAATTTAAAAAAAAAATTGTATACATTACACGCAAAAAACAGATCTTTTCCTTTGTGTTGCTTGAAACAGAGTATCTGCCCTGACACAAATAAACAGCATTTTTGTGCTTTTACGCCTTAGATCTTCTAGCAACACTAACGAATAAACCCATTGATATCATTGTTTTCAAGCTTTTGAGCAATAACATATCACTTTCTGCCCTTAATACAGAAATACTGTCTCTGGTACTGTTAAAACTGTCACTCATGGAAGAAGATTTACATACTCTTTTTCCTTAGATTTATGGTATTCGCTAAAGACAAATTCAACTTGCCCATTATTGGAGATATAATTGATGCTCCACCTACCGCTGAATTAGAACCGTTAAAGCAAGGCGCACTGACTCAAACCGATGAAGAAGACATGGGTATGACTTATGCAGAATTGAGTCAGTTTGGGAGACTCAGGAAGATAGACAGCTGTGGACCGTATTCAATGTATTGTAAATTAGTACATACATGGTCGAATTCATGTACACCTAAAGAAGTTGCAGATAAAGTAAAGCACTTTTTCAGGTAAGTGCAAAACAAATTCGTCACACAGTGTTACTGCTATTCAATACCGCCACACGGGCAGAGAGCAACCTGCAATTTTCCAAGACATATCGCCAACTAGGCGAACTGATTGCAGGATGATACTGCAGGAAACAACTACTTTGCAGATTACATGCCTCGACCAGCGATGAGTTGTATAGTTTTTACGATCTCAATTGAAGAACGGTGAATATACCAGGTTCGGTCGCTGACGCAGCAACTCGGCATTGAAATATTTGAAAAACTTGTTTCGATTTTTATTTAGCCATACCCATATACACGTCTAGTCACCTAGTTGAAAAACGAGCGCGCGGGCAGACGCAGCACAATCACAGCCGCACTGGGCCACCTGGTCATAAATTCGGTTGTCAACAAATGAACTGGCAGTGCAGTGCAGCAATGCGGGATTTGGTGTGATTCAGGTAATTTTAATTTATTATAGGCACCTTCTATTAATCATTCATATTACAATTGCGAAAGGGAGAAATAATGGGGATATTTTGTTTACTAATATTATCACAACATGGCATTTTGGAGACCTTTTGAAACAGAACAAAACGGAATTTACCATCAATATAATAAAATTGTTTGAGGACATAAATAATTAAAATATGTTGTTATATATATATTGGTTTTGGATTGTTGGTATAATTCAATGCTGGACGGGGCATATAGCCTGGACAAAAATGTGAATTTTTGAAAAAAATATACAGAAGCTATACTTTTGATGAGTGGTTAAAATTTTGTCATTTATTTTTATTGGTACACCCTATAAAAAGTTATTATTCATTTATTTATGTATATCGAATTTTATGCATTTTGTTACAGATGTTATGCGATTAATAGACATAAGATGACCGTGTTAACACCATCATATCATGCCGAATCCTATAGTCCCGATGATAATAGATTTGACCTACGTCCATTTTTATATAGGGCCAATTGGTCATGGCAGTTTAGAGCAATCGACAAACAGGTTAGTAGAAACATAATCGACAAAGCTTGAATGTATATAGTCTAATTTTTATAAAATGGTTACTAATTAATATAATAGATTCTTTATTCTCGTGAGTAAGGACAATAATAGCTATAAGTATAATAACTAATTTTGGATTTTGTATATTTTTTTTCTATTTCAGGTTGAATATATCACTAATACAAAAAGAAGTGGGACAAATTTACCAATCGAACCCAACAAAAAATCAAATACAAATAATTCTAAATTACGTTCAGGGGTAACCGTTTAGAAACATTTTTTGACGACATTGATAAAATATTCTGGTATAATTAAATTGGTTGATTAGATATTAGTAGGGATACGTAATTTTCGCAAAAAAAAACAATCAAATTCCCCAAAAACAAATATCCAAATTTTCGCATTTATTTGCTAAAACCAAAAACAAATCATCAAGTTAGCAACAGGATAATAAAAGTAAAATAAAAGAAATTCTCACTTTAAAAAAATATTGGCAGAATATTTTTAAATTTAACTTAATTATATGTGTATCAGATAGTCTTACTGTTAGTTGAAAGTCAACATTGCTGTCCTTTCTACATTTTCTTCCAACAGCTTGGTCCTTCTGTCCGTGATAACAATGTTGTGAATATTGAAAAATTGCTCCGCATCAACACTATTACTTACATGACTCCATAATTTAGATGAATATATTTAGGTGCCCATAAAGCTTGAAGAACAACAGGAGTGTTTTTTTTTATCTTCTGCAGCTTCAAGAGTTATGAATGAATGTGATTATATCCATCAACAAACTCATCTCGCAGGATATTAAAAAAAACGGATTTTTGGAAAAACGACTACGAAATCTTTCCTAAGTGACTCTGAGTCAATAATAGATGGACAAAATGGTGTACCAATGTATTAGTAGGCGTCGTTCATTTCATTAGATTTCATGTGAACAATTAATTTATTCAAGCTCTCAGATTTTATCAGAATATCATCGCTTCGCATTTGTTTCTATATTTCACATTTTTTTCGTAATTTCGCATTTATTCGCAGTTATTTCGTAAATGCGAAAATTACGTATCCCTAGATATTAGTTCTCTCAAATATGTATTTAAGGGCCTATAGTTCCAGAAATGCAAAAATATGTGGTTACGAACCATATAATCATACGATTTATTTTTAAAAACGGCTTGCCTTTTAACTTTAGAATTACTAGTAGTAAGCGCACACTCATATTATTGCATGTCAAAATCATTTCTTAGGGTACAAATATGCCGGAGCAGCGTTTCATGTATTAAGCGTCACTTCAAATCACGATTCGTTAGTTATAAAACAGATCATTACATCCAAGTAGCGGTGGATGAAAAACACTGTTCCAACATATTTATACCCTTCCACCTCAATTTTTTTTTTACATTTATTTATTTTTTAAATATTTTTTATTACAAATGTTTACTTAAGTTTTACTCGTATTTATATTCTTACATATCAGTGCTTGTTTTAAAATGCAGTGATTCTTACATCAGTTGAGCAGCAAGGTAGCACAATGCAGCAAAATTGAATGTTTGTAATATTCCATTTGAAAGTTAAACAAACTTTTAAAGTGCCTGTGCTGATATGTAAGAAATGGCCTATGCCTTTTACAATATAAAAAGTGTACATTTACTGAAAATGTCTATTTATAATAAATTATTCCATATTCCATTTTTAATAAAATAAATATTTGCTTTAAAATATATGGACAATGTAAAACTAGAGATTATTTGACTCAAGATAAGTAAGTTTAGACTAATAAATGAAAATAATAAATACGAATGATTTTTTTAGGCATTAATTTTTGTAAAAATTGTATTAGCGGTACATATTGGAAATAAAGTCGTATTATTAGATTTTGAATAAAACAATTAAAAAAAAATTGTTCTTAAAAAAATCACAGCAGCCTTAATTAAGGTTTGGAATTTTGAGGAAGTAAGTTATATGCCTGTTTTTACTCCTATTTAATAAGAACAATTTGGCATTAATCTATTTTTTTAATTATTGCGTTAATAACTAGAAACACCCTATACAGGCTGTTACAAATTCACTTCTCACTACAGGGATCTCGGAAATGGTAAGAGATACGAAGTAGCTTAAATGGAGGACTAACATTATGCCTCTAAAAAATCAAGGCTAACATGATTAGTTTTCGAAATATTTGAAAAAAACTGAAATTTTGGAAATCCGTTTTTGTTTCATATCAGCCTTGTTTGAGGTGATATTGAAAAAAGAAGAACACTTTCTCAAGGCCACTTTTTCCCCTCTATCAAATGGCATAATCAATTTTTATATGTAACGTTTTGTCTCTCCAGGACCATCATCAACTTCATTTTTTTAATTACGATCCTAGAAATTTGATTACATTTCTTGCAAGCCTTCATGACCCCCCAATACTGTACTGCCTCAGCACAAACCAGATTCAGACGTTTCGTCTCAAAAAATTGTTGATGGTCCTGGAGAGACAGCCATGAGAAAGTGTTCTTTTTTCAATATCACCTCAAACAAGGCTGATATGAAACAAAAACTGATTTTCAAAATTTCGTTTTTTTTTTCAAATATTTCGAAAACTAATCATGTTAGCCTTGATTTTTTAGAGGCATAAAGTTGGTCCCCTAATTATGCAACTTTGCCCCCATTTAAGCTACTTCGTATCTCTTACCGTTTCCGAGATCCCTGTAGTGAGAAGCAAATTTGTAACAGCCTGTATTGTGTTCGATAAAAAATGCAAAAGTTTTTTATGCATATAGTTTATTTTAAAACAACATTAGGGAAGTACATATTTTGTTCTAGTTTGCATTGCGGTACAATATATTGTCAAAAAAATACTTTTTTTTGTGTATATAATTTATTTTATAACAACATTAGGAAAATACATATTTTGTTCTATATTAAGTAATATCTGAAGTGTGAAGTTATAAATACAAATTAAGTTACATATACATATGAAAAAATTAAAGCTAATTTTTTAAATAAGAAAAGCTAATAATTTTTTATTTCAGATAAACTCAGTTCCATTAAATAATATAAATCTAGAGGTCATGAATACTGTGATGTAAAAAGAAATATAAATAACATTAATTTAAATCAACATTTATAGGTACACTGGCAAACATTTAACTAGTACATATTAACACGTCAAACTGAGTAGTTCAACTATAAGATAAAAAGGTACTTATAGTAGATAAACTAAATATTTCTATGTACAAACATTAGTATCAACACACAAACTTTATTTAATAACAACAAGTTCTCACTCTAACAAGACTAAAGTATTGCAGATTTTGTTCGTTGTAAGAGAAAAAGAAAACTAATCACAACGCTTGAAATATTATAAATTCTGTAGCACCATAGTTTTGAACTTGTCTATGAAGCACCAGAACAGAGATAGGAACGTGTTAAAGTTCAGAAATATTTTAACTACTGTACCCAAAACCTCGCTTGTGAATTTCATATTTATTAGAAAAGGTATAAACTGTGCTTTTATATAATCCCATCGTTCTTTCTAAATTCTAACAACGTTCCAATGCTATACAGTTCAACTAAGCTACACTTACTTAATTAACCCAGTTCCTTCCACCTGATTGCACAAAAAACCCGATTTTTATTATAGTCTCTGCTTTATTTATTATGTGCGGTCTTGTTAGGCCTGTTTCCTCATTTTATTTTCCATTTCCTGAAGATAACTGTATCGTTATCGATTGTCGTAAAGGTTTAAATTTATATTATCACAGAAGAAAATTAAAAGAATTTTTCCTTCCAATGTGTAAAGAAATTAATTTTCTACATTGGATGGATTGCAAATAAATATAAATATTATAAATATTTAGGTACGTACTTGCAAGAGCATGTTAGCAAAATTTGAATTTGTAAACTTAAAGTGCCTTTTATCATAAAATTTGAGCAAAGCAGGGCTGTATGGGTGTTTATCTTTTAAATGTAAGTAATGAACTTCCGGTTCATTAGTCGTGTGTCCACACTCTTCGCAGACGTATACCTTAGTTCTTCTTTCTTTATAAGCATATTGATGTTGTACACCATGTACTTTGAGGCAGTGGGACTCTAAAGAACATCTCTGAGTAAACGACTTTTCACAAAGGCTGCATTTATAAGGCCGTACTCCTAGAAAACATTTTATAATAAATTTAAAACATTCTGACGGTTTGTTTTAACTTTTTAAAATAATATACAGTGCTGGCCATACAACACAGAGAAAATAGTGCATAAGATGAGAACAGTGTTAGACAAAGAGCTAAATTTCTGCTGCCAAATTACGTCACTGGAATGGCGAGAACAGAGTCCGTTTTTTTCTGAAACTCGGAAACAGTGCAACGTTATTTCTCTCTTCTCATTAAAGAAAATTTCGTAATTGAGCATGGCCACCACTGTGTGTGTAAAAACATACTTGTTAATTTGTTAGAAAGTAGCCATTATTTTACAGGATTAAAATGTATTTACATGTACAGAGTGACTTGTTAATTTGTTAGAAAGTAGCCATTATTTTACAGGATTAAAATGTATTTACATGTACAGAGTGTCCCGAATTTTAACCATGAAAATTCAAGAAATATAAAAAGTTCATATAATGGCACTTTGCTCTATAAACATATTTTTTAAACCCCACAGTTTCCAAGGTACAGAATGTTAAATGTTAAAATGTTACAATTTACTCAAAAATCTTTAAAATTTCTGCATTTTGTCAATGAATCCACTGACAGCTTTTTTCAAAAACTTTGGCACCCATATCTTCGCAATCTTTGTTTAGAAGAAATTTAGAAATTCTTTTTTTGGTGAGGTTTCGAAAATAGCTTATTACAGCAAAGTGCCATTATTTAGACCTTCTTTATAGATTTTTGTGTGGTTAAAATTTTTAATGTCTATAAAATAATGGCTTTATTTTAATTTGATATTTCTAATTTGTTAATTTAATGTTTCTAATCTTATGTAAACTGTAAGTTTTAAAGTGAATGTGTTTGTTTTCTATATAAAAAATATTATATGCAATAATATTATAGGCCAACCAATAAAGATTTTTTGGCACACTTAAATATTACAACAAATTTCATGTATTTCCTTTTGAGAAATACTAGTAAATGAAAACCCAAGTGATTTCCAGAGCAAAGTCGTGAACAATTTTTTTTTAACAATAAAAACTGCAAAAAATGAAATTGTTTTGGTGTTTTTATGATATCTCAAAAAATAATGATTGAATCGTCTTGCTCTCAATAGGACCTTTGTAGAGAATAAAAAACCTATAAAATGGTTTTCTGTGCAACCCCATCGGTTCATTTTTTACAGAGAAAATACGGAAAAACCTCTAAAATAGACCTTTTTTCAAAAATTCATAACCCAGTCAAATTTGAAGATGGAAAAACAATCTTGCGGAAAATTACAGATAATAATATGTATTTTAATCGTGTGCAAGATGGTTTCTGTCCGATACATAGTTTTTGCACTATAAACAAATTTGGGTATTTTTTTACACACGGTGGCGATTGATCAAAAATGGTCCGATTTAAATTCTGAAAACGGCATCTGAAAATAGACGACAAAATCTCCAATTTGTATATCTCGGATTTTCACCTGGATGATGGGAAATATGCTAAAAATACCATTGAAAGTCGCCCGAAACGATCAAAAACAACTCGACTTACGAGCGTACTTTCGATCGTTTCGGGCAACTTTCAAGGGCATTTTTAGCATATTTCCCATCACCCAAGTGAAAATCCGAGATATACAAATTGGAGAATTTAAATCGGACCATTTTTGATAATGCAATTGTGCAAAAACTATGCATCGGACAGAAACCATCTTGCGTACGATTAAATTACATATTATTTCAGTCATTTTTCGTAAGATTGTATTTCCAGCTTTAAATTTGATGGAGGTATGAATTTTTGAAAAAAGGTCTATTTTAGAGGTTTTTCCGGATTTTCTCTGTAAAAAATTAACCGATCGGGTCACACAAAAAACCATTTTATAGGTTTTTTAATTCTCTACAAAAGTCCTATAGAGAATAAGACGATTCCACCATTATTTTTCAAGATATAAAAAAATAATAAAAATGTAATTTTTTGCAGTTTTTATTTGCTGTAGTATTTGAGTGTAAAAAGAGCCTCGTTTTTTGCTCTATTGGTTGGCCTATTAGGTAATAAGCAGTGACGGCTTTCAAAAATTAAAGTGATAATATTTTGATAATGAAGCGCCAGGCCTATATCGTTTTCTATGACATGATTTCTAGGCCTGCATAGAGAACTTCCATGATGAATAAATTTTGAACCAAGCAAATAAATTAAATTATGGGTAGCCCATATGGGGTAGCCTCAAAAAGAATTGCACCTATTTTTGCAAAATATTTTTTTTCATAATCAGCTGATTGATACAGTTGGTTTTTCACAAAATTTTAAGTTTTCATAAAGTTACAGTATTAGGGAGTTTGAAAAATGGAATATTAATATCAACTTGAAATTTAAATACCTGGATATCCCCATGAACATAAATAAGTTACGTTAAAAATATAAAAATCACCTATTTGCATCTATCAGTTGATTATGAAGAAAATATATATAATTTGCAAATATATGGGTGACCCTTTTCAAGATCTCAAGGTTGGCTACCCCTAATTTAATTTTTTATTTAGCAAATTTTGCTCACAATTTTTTATCATGGAAGATCGAACCATCACTGGAAATAAGTATATTACATTAAAAAATACTTTTTTCAGCAATAAGTAACAATATTTACCATAAAAGGTATTCATTTAAAATCTGCTAAAAGAAAGAGGAATTTTTTTAAATTCTTTCGTCTGCATGATAACATTTTCAACTCATTAGCACGTCAGGTATTATAGTATACATATCTGAAATTCTGTTGAATTCTGAAATTAGTATTGAAATTTTAAGTAATACATCTGAACTGTATAGTATCAAAAGAAATAATTTCATTTCATATACAATAATATATTACCTGTATGTGTTCTTGTGTGCCTCTTTAAGTCAAATGTGTCATTAAATCCTTTTCCGCAAAAGGTGCAAAGATATCTTTTCACATCCGAATGACATTTCATATGCCTGTTAAGGAGACGTTGCAAGGCAAATGTTTTGTTACAAATTCGACATGCAAAATTTGTCTGGCCATCTTCTGTCGTTATAGATGCTACCTTGCTTTTTTCATCTGACCTGCTCCCAGTTCGTACAGTCTCCTGGTTGGCCAGAGGATTTTTAATACCATGACCTCCATTAACGAATTCTAACTGTACTTCTGCCGGTAGCCCCAACTGTAAAAGAAACTGAAAATATAACAAATGACTTTGATGTTCAGGAAAGCAACATATTGATTCGGGCAGTGCTATAAGACATAAGTTTTTGTTAATACAGATAATATAAATATATACAAGTAAATAGAGCAAAAAGCACTACATACCTCTAAAGTAATATATTTAAGGTTATATTAACTATAAATCAAGTCAGTAGGTACTTGGTTTTTATGTTAAATGAAAGGGATTATTATTCAATTTTAGTACTCTATGTATCGATTTAAAAAAAATACTGACTAGATTTAGAGGTATATAACCTCTGTACATAAAAAAGGAAATTTGACTATCTATCACTATTTAATTTTTTAGTCTTGCTTGCCATAATCAACTTGATGCTTACCCTATGCAAAACATTTACCCTGCCCTGCAGGGTTGGCGGATCGCTGCTTGTACTATCACGGCGACCACTCACATTTGCTGGTGGGCTAATAGATGCTCTATCATTATGAGCTCCATCCAGGGAACAGCTTGTTGCTCCGGGCGACGGCAAAGACATAGTTGTTGGAGAATCTAAATCTAATGCGCTTCCATTGAAAGAGAGAGTGGGTGACAACATCTGCTGCTGATGCATTTGGGTCTGCAAGGTGTCATTATTTATCGATGATTGATAGGAGGGCAATGACTCTTGATACATCTTTGAAAATTGACTTTGGTTAAAGTTACCTCGATTCTCATAATTTCTATTTAACATTTGTTCGCTAAAGCCATCGATATTTTGATCAACTTGTTGCAATTGAGATTCTGGTGTGATAGCAGGTGACTGAATATTGCTTGTGATTATGTCTTCGTTATCATTTTCTTCGGTAGGAAGCCTTTGGAGAAATGTTGAAAGATCCGCCGCGTCTGATAGACTTTCCAATAAAGCATGTTCTGCCGAAGTGGAAAATGTTAATGTAGCTGTAAATTGTAGAGGATCCACAACTGAACCAGATACCATGTCGACCATCATTGATTCGTCATATCCAGAATAGCCTCCGGGGAGTAACTGATTCATAGGATCCATTTTAGACTCGTATAACTCTAAATCATTTTCATCTTTCATAACAATGCCGTAAGAAGCATTTTGTAGTGTGGAATATTGTTTTGGTGGACTCTGACCTCCATTCATACCTAGATTCGCCAAGTCCTGCCCTGTATCACAATCCATATGCTGATTTGATAAGATATAGTTTGAAGAAAAATTGCTGTTTGCATTGAAGTTGCTCCCATTATTGCCCCCTAAAATAGAAGGAACATTTGTATTTTCAAGTCATTATACTTATTCTAATTAATTAAACATATTTTACAATCTGCCACATAAATAATTTTAAAATGTGCTATACTAGGTGATCACTTTAGTGATGCATATTCTTCAATTAATTAAAAATTCTGGGCCATCACATGTTTTTACAATTTAACGCAATAATTTCAAAACTTGTTATACTTAAAAACCATAGCAAATAGAAAGACGGTTAAATGGGAAAAACTGTAAAATATTCTATTGCTAATTTGATTATGTTCACTGACAAGTTCACAGGTAAGTTTCAAAATTTAAACCAATCAATATTAATGATAAGATTTTGATGTCAATATTCAATATTTTTGTGATATATATCTGTATAAAATTATTGTATTACCTTTGAGCGATTCATAAAAAGGAGGCAAACTACCAGTAGGTGGACTACTAGGCCCATAATTTTGCCTTCCGTCTCTCCCTGGATTCATACCACCACCACCAGTTCCACTACCTATTGCTCCCCCTCCTCCACCTGAAGAACCAGCTGAAAAATTTATGGAACTTCCGCCACCAGAAGAAGTATTATTGGTCTGATTGCTTCCAGCTTGCCCTCCAGAAGAACCCCTGCCATGACCTGCAGCTGCCGACATAGTCACAGGGAATTTTCCTACAATAGATCTAACAGATATTAGAGGCTTATTGATTTTGGAGCAGTGACTTCTCCTTTGTTCTCGAATTCGCCTCTCTTCATCTTCATTCTCTGTTTCACCTTTCCTCTTAGGTATGTGATAATCGATAGGTTGGTCCTGCTCAGGTTCTTGTATAACCAACGGTGCAGGCAATCTTGTGTCTGTATCTTCATCTCTCTTTGTAGTTTTTGGAGTACGCTGTATGACTGAAAAGTGACGGACCGGTGCCAAATTTTGTGGTTTTGGTACATCATTTGAAGGTTTTTGAGCTGCAGGGATGGTGACTTTGTCTTGAGAAAATGCAGGGGGGTATTCTTTCCTTTCTGCCCTTGTCAACACATGGCCTCGACTTCCGTACGGAACGTCTCCACCAAGAATGGAGGATATAAAACGGCGTGGAAGGGTGTTGTCTTTTGACTTATTCGAGTCCTCAGGTGGCGGTGATTTTGATTTCAATAGATCTTCCGCTTTCTTTTCATTCTCTAAAAAAGAAACATAACATGAAATCGAGCTACTAATTGTATTACTTTGTATTACTTGTAGAATTGAACATGTCTCTTATATAAAGAGCTTTTATGTTCACTTTTTTATTCGCTATCGAAGATGTTTAAAATTTTATGGAGATGGTTAAATTTGTGAAATTTACGTTTCAAAGAGAAGTAAAAAATAACTTTATCAGTGTGAGACCATAATAATAATTAGTTTTCTTTATTACAAAAGAACTATGAGAAGTCCAATAATTTTACTTTAAAAAAAATAATGTTGGTGGAAAATTCACTGGCAAGACAATAAAAAATATGCTCTTAAGAATGTATTTTCTATTAGTTATCATTTCTATTTCTTGAAATAAATTAATATAAGCAATAACAAAGTTTTAAAGTTAGTTATAGTTGTATTTTTTTTATTTTAGAATCCAATAATTAATAAAATTTGTTATATTTATTACGATTTTACTAAATTCTCCAGCATACACCAATAGATGTTAAATTAACATATAATTTGGGATTCATAATCATTTGCCCACATAGAAATTCAAGGATGTACAATGAACTTGTTTTTTTAGCATGGGTAACGTTTGTGAATCTAAATGTTATAATGACGTTATATTGTATAAAAATACGTAGATGTATTTCTACAGACTGTTATTAAATGATTTTACTAATGAATTATAACTTTGTTACATACAACTAATACGTGGGACCAAATAAATGATTGATTAAATTTACTTTGACACAGAAGTGGTCTATTAAGATATAATCTCAAAAAAATTTAACAAAAAATTGGAATCATGTAGGAAATTAAAAAATTAACTGCAGCAAAAGTTAGTTCATATGGAAAGAGATATTTTTAGGATAAATTATTTTTTTTTTTTGGATTAAGAAAAACAATTCTTGTTTTATAAATGTAGGCATTATTACTCGTTTCTTAAAACCAATAATAGACTATCAAATACCCATAACAATAATTTTTTAGATTTAGATCTGCAATTTTGGCTAAAATGAAATTGAATAATCAGTGTAGTATATGAGTTAATCTTTAAAAGGTAAAATTAAGAAAACATTTTGATGGGTAAGAGATTGCCAAAAGGGACAAAAGAACCACCAGATCGACTACACCTATTTCTACAAAAAGAAAAAAAAAGTCCCCCACAGATAAAAATCCGCTTTATGTCTGCCGAAGCGTTTAAATGTTGTTTTATACCAAAACAACAAATGTATAACAAAAATCAATAATTTATGAGACGGTTTAAATAAAACCATTTGGAAAAAAAATTAAGGTAGACACATTTTTATTCAGTGATAATTGATGAACGACAAACATGTTAGGGTTAACGATCTTAATTATCTTTCACAATTAATTAAATTAGTCGAAATTTATATTTGGAATTCAAGGTAATATCAAAAAAGTAAAGGGTAAGCCAAATAACTTTCAACCTTATTACCTCGCTTATTTATAATTATATAAATTTATTACTTTTTATTTATTTCGACAATTAGAGGTAAATAGGACAAAAAGTTTGTTTTAAATCAGTCCTCCTTTACCGAGATACAGGGTGTTAAATGTACGCCTGAAAAACCTCATTTTATTTTATAACTTTGGAAAGCTGTAGTTGGTTTGCATAAAATTTGGTAACATGCTCAAGTTCATTATCTGCAACATACTGGTTATGAAAAATCTAATGAGCGTAGCTAAAGGATTATCTGCCTTTAAAAAATATATGTGTCATCTTCTCAATGCTAAATTCTAAAAAAAAACAACATAAAAAGGTACTCTGATCTCATTTCGATTTAACTAACCAGTTTTAAGATAAATTCGTCACATCTTCATAGTATTACTACCTGAAAACAATATTTGTTTATTTTTTTGCGAAATCGATGATAATCACTAATTTTAGCATAATATTGTATTTAAAATGCTGCAAATATAAAACGATAGAAGCAGTGGCAATATCTTATAATACTGGAAGCATTTACAATCTGTCTGATTAAAACAACTTGCTGTGAGTTATACTTCTCGTAGAACTAAATTTACTATAGTTGGCTATGAAAAAACATTCAAAGATTCATTAATAGTACTTGGTACATTACAACAAATTATTTGTCTATCATTTATTATTTCTAAAGTATTACTAATCTTTTCTTCGTTTCATTGCTAACAAAAAAAATAGCATTAATAGTGTGATAACTAGGTGTCAAAAATGAGCTTCCTCTTCTTAATTTAATATTTTCTTATTTATTTTATTTGTTCCACAGTTTATTTAAATAACAAATACAGAATGGGAACAATAATAAATTTTAAATTAAAATCCCCAAAAAAGTACCAATACAATGAAAAAAATCAGCAAATCTAAATTACATACAATGAAATATAATGTAAGAACAGATGGTTTTAAGGTCTCCAATTGTAGAGTAAAATACATATTATATCAAGCTGGTTCTGCACAAGATATATGCTCACAGATAAAATGTGAAGGTGAACATTTCAAAACGTTTGTTTATGGTGCCGGCAAATAAAAAACATTAAAATTACGCGTATTACGTTTAGAAAATTTACAATGTTTAAAGTATTAGGGGCATCTATAAGGTTCTAAATTGTTTTGAGATCTTGTAGATTATTAAAAGAAAATTTATTCCTGTTGTACCTACTATTCCAACCGTAGGATATGCCGTATTTAATCTAAAAGATGGAAATTTTAAGTAACAAACGACTGCAGTTATACAAACACTTGGCCTTGAAACTTTTGTTTTTAAGATGCAGAATGTTGATGTTAAAATAATGTCTCTAAATATATTCTAAACAAATCATATACAATATAAAGTGAAAAAATTAAGTTTCAGTTCAAATCAATGGCGAAGGTAAAATAATTCTAAATATGGACATATAGCTTGGTGTCTACGTTTAAAAAATATATACACCTGCAGTTTGATCACCATATCTTCTACCTTTCATTTGTGTTTCTGTTGAAGCAATTGAACCATTGGATGTACCTACGTTTTACTTTCTCGGTATCTCTTCAAATAAGCTAGGCTATGAATTGTAAGACAGTTACTTGGCTCACCCTATATATGTATGAAAATATTTATATGGCGACTGCCTGTCTCCCCCTGAGGTCGATCCTGCTTTTTATTGTTCACGAATCGTTGAGATCCGGCCATTAATTACAACTTATTCAAAATTTTTGTCGCGCTTGTCGCTGAATACACACGATGCAATGGTTAGTTTAAACGATATTATAATTCGTTCGATGACCCAGGAAAAAGTAGTTGTTTTTAATCAGGTAAACCTTGAAAATATAATCTGAATTGCTGTATATTTTACAGAATCCGTTACCAAATTTACATTTAATATTAATTGATTGGACAAATAAATTCATGAATACGCTGGAAACACCTGATGACATAATGTCGGACAGATTTTTGAAGGTAAATAATGGGTGACATTAACTTATAAAACTAGAAATGAAATCATAAAATCATAACGAGGTGTTCACGAAATACCAGTGAAGTCGTTTGAATATTCATGTTTAATAGGAACATTTTTTAAGTAAGTTCAACATTCAGAATAAATTCAATATCATTTGGAAAGTATAAATTTTATTTGTGATAGGTACTTATTACTGTTAATCTCAAAATATCTTTCTCGTGTGAGATTATCTATGTTTATGGCAAATAAGGCACACCTACAAATATTCTAAGATTCAAATACTTCGGGTTATTCTTATTTCGTCTCTTCTCATAGTCTAGTGTTTAAAGATAGTTTTTTGGAAATGAAGGCAGAGAGGAGGTAAAATGTAAATCATGTCTCCAAATTAAATCTTATATCAATTTTACCGCATTCATAAAGTGTTTCTATTCTTTCCCACAAAAAAATTATAGATCTATAGAAATTTCCATCGTAATTGATTCAATGGTTGTAGAAACATTACAAAATTCATGATTAGTGAATGAAAAAAAATAAATGTGATGTTCTCATTTTTATGAATAGATACGTATTATGCAGTTTATATAAAAATATATGTCTGCAGTCTGTGTATACGAATAGCAGATAATTTAAAAAAATAACTAGGAGAAAAGGCATTTTCACATTGACCTTGACCTGGAAGCCGTATGAGATAACTAAAGTGGATAACTCTGTCATAACAAAGTAGAGAAAGCTTTAAGAATGAACACTTTCTATTTATAATTGCGTAAAGTTTTATTACGCAATTGTACCCTTGAACTTGTAACAATCTATGTACAGAGTGGATCAGTTTCAATAGAATTTCATGGTATTTCAAAATCTACCAAAGACAGAAAGAAACAGGTGACATGTTCTCGAGCTCGATTTTGAAACAAATTCAGCTGCTGAAGCTGATGATTTGATGTCTTCATTTGTTTTCAAATTATAGAATGATATTCTTTCTCTTAACATTTTCGCCTACTTTTGTATTACTGCTATTAAATAAGTTAGAATTAAAGTATAAACTTCCCCATATTTCGACATAGAATCAATTGATACTACTTTTTAAATAAATTTTATGGTTATGGATTTATTATTATTTTTTTTTTATGGGAATCATTGTTGGCTATGGTTTAGATATTGTATTGAGATTTGGTTTTGCTCCAGTTAGTAGCATATATTCTATCGTAGCCTTACTGTTAGTCCAGCCCCTAGATAAATGATACTGGTCCAGCCACACTGGAACTAAATCGTTTAATTTTGCGTCAAAAGGATCAGTTAGAGTGTTGAACTCAAACTTGTTTTTGTCTAATCAGAAGTATTTTGGAATTGACAGAGTATGCCCTTTTGTCGTTCTTATAAACTTGTGATGTCTATGCAAAGACAATAAACCTAACGTAAACCAAAGGCATAAAAAGAAACTATACTCCAAATTAAGTAACTGCAAACAAACAGGTCACACGGGACAAATTGTTGTATTCAGGAATATTTCAAGGCAAACTGTATTTGGATACACAGTCGGACTATAAACACAGACAACGGC